AGTAAGCGATTTTCACTTGTGTACGCTCAGTTGGTTGAGCTATTCTTTAATCTCAGATCAGGTTAAAGAGACGACAAAGCAAAAGCTAAAAGTCAAATGCAAAATCGCACATACGCCGCGTATTCCCACAGACGCAGGAGAGCTTCAGGTAACTCCTTTTGACTGGGGCATGCGGCTTACGGTACTTGCTTTTATTTTACCCTTGGCTACTTTTTATATATAGGTAGATATTTTATTCCCAGCACAACAGCACGACGCATACCGTATATATGTATGTGTATGTAAGTGATTATCTGCATGTAAAGTAGCGCCCAGGACTCGAATGCCTTTCGTAGCACACTGATGAGCATGTTAATAGAGCCCGCATAGCTTGAATTAATCAAGTGGCCTCTCAAATGCCATAAGCTTTTTACTCATTATTTTTTGGAAGGAGCTTGAAACTCAGTAAAAATACAAAATATTCTAGAGACTTGCAATTTGCAACAAGTCCAAAAAGAGCAGAAGATATTCAAATATTATTTGTAATCTGTTCTGTAATGTTTCAGAATAATTTTGTTTTTAAATCGAATATTTATTTTGCATTTCAATAAATGGTAATTTAAATAACTCTCTCAAACTGAAGACAATTTAACACGATTTCATAATCAAGTCTACATTTTCATAAAACTTAAATAAATATGTTTCGTTACTATTGTGTTACAAGGAACTTACTTATAATGCAGTACTTTGGTCCTTTGTTGAGGACAAGTGGAGCACGGCAAATGGAACGTGATTTCAATGGAATCTAATGAGCTTGCAGTATACAACAAATCGTAATATTATTGCCAGGCAATGGCCTGGGTAACAATAAAATTCGCCAGAGCAAGAGGACATTCAGCATATGGGGCAAAAGCATAAAACTAATGTTAAGCAGCAGTAATTCTCTGTTTCTCGGTTTGCTTTGTTTTTTGCCCGGCAGCTTTTAGTTCTGCTTCGATAAATTCCCGTTGCTGTCGTCGCCTGTCGTCATTGTTTGTCCTTAAGACAATGATGGCATACGCCATTCCAATACCCACCCCCTTCCCCCCAAGGACATGCAATAAAATTGCGTTTTAATGCAGCGCCAACTGTCGAACTAACGGCTTGTGTCGCCATACCCTTGCCCTCTCTGTGTTCATTCTAGGAGCCTATATAGAAAAATCCTAGTCAAACTGAGTTCTATTAAAGTATGTGAAAGCTCCTTAAATATTCAATATACCCTACATACATAATTCAACTGGTTAGGGTAAAATTTTGTTGTTTGTTTCTTGTTTCTTGTTTCTTGGCCTGTTCGTTTGTCCTTCGCCATTGTTTAATGACATTTTATTTGCATATTTTTATGTGCTGCTTGTTGGTAAATATGAATTTTATGTGTTACTCGATTTCAGAACACGCCAAGCCTCAGTAAGAATGTAGTCAGTGTGAGCTAGACTACAGTATACCCTGTTAATCTTGTGTTTGTGTGTTTCTTAACCGATCTTGATGAGATTTATGCAGTTGATCAATAATATGTCCAGAAATATTATGTATTAATGCTTTCGGAAATCGATATCTATCGATTATCGCTAAACTGGTGCAGTTATCAATTAACTTAAATAATCCTTATCAGTGTGGAATATTCTTTATTAATATTCCACATTTGAGTGCGAATGTTGTTGATGTTGATCGAGAATACATATGCTCTATGGGATCGGAGATGCCTTCCTGTTGCCTATTGTATACTTCTTGCACCAAACCATTATTCCCTTTTTATCCATTTTAATGGATTCAGGGTATAAAAAGGACGAAATCTCCCAACACACTCAAACACCAGTTTCCTCGGGCTCCGTGCCGCAATGGGAAAGAAAAATAAATATATATATATATAAGAAAAAAAATGGCAACATGTAATAATATTCGAGGCAACAAAATCCCCGTTGAGTCGAGCAAGCGCCAAATGTTTTTTGCTCCATTTTTCATGCGAACTGAAAAGAAGCGAGCAAAGTGAAAACCGACAAAGGAAAGGAGCAAAGCAAACAAACATAAAAGTGCGAAACAATTCTCAAGTGTTTCACGGTTTAAGCTTTGTGGCTTTGTGTTCTTTATTTTGTGTGATTTGTGCTTTGCTTTTTGAACACACAAAAAGGAAACAAACAAAGAAATAGACTGAGACTGTGACTGTGACTGAGACTGAGAGAAGTAGGGGTACTCGTTACTGCTGGCATTTGCTTATTTGATTTTTAAAGCCAGAATACAATCGCTTACAAAGCTCCCACGCTTCTCACAGCTCTGCATTGTAAGTTAATATTTTAGAATTGATTCAATTAAATATCACTCTCAACTCGGTCGAATGACAACGTTTATGCATCTGCAATTGGAATGCATGCGGACACTAGGGGTATATATATATACATATATATATAGTATATAGATATATAGACACCATCAACGAGACCAAACGAGACCAGACCAGACCAGACCCCGGGCTTAATTTGTACAAATGAGTTGTCTGCGTCCGCACGCATTTCTATGGCACTGCTTTGTGTCCAACAGTCCAACTGATTGCAGTGACTGTAATAGCTTTTGGCTGTGCAACAAATGGTTATTGTGTGCACACAAACGTTGCATTGTTCCATCCATTTGTTGCATCGCCGGCTACGTTGCCACACGGAGTTCTCGCACTGTTGCCAAGCGGAAGTCGACGGCTATCCAATTCCAGAAGTGAATGGCAATAATTCAAGCGCATTTTGTAGGTTTGCCCTAACCCTAGATGAATCCACCGAGCAATACTTTAACCAGAGGCTTTACAAAGCACCCTTCAAAACCCCTTATATACATATATCTATATATTCAAAAATATAATTAAGCTCAATTGCCATGGGTATAATTTTGTTAATAAGAGCTATGATTTTACAATTTAATTGTTGGCACACTTTATTTTTATTTTACTCTGTATTTTTTACAAATTTAGTTAGTGAACCAAAATCTTTATGTTCTAGTTTCTAGAAGGGAGCATATTCAATCTTTGTCTATTTCTCCGTCAGTTTGAATAAACGGAATAATATCAGTTCCTGTATTTGAGTTTTCACAAAAGGTTGAATTAATCTGCTGATTCCGATTCTAAATATTTATCGGTAATCATGCGATATATATTCCGATTCCAACTCCAGGCGGAAGGAATTATATCCGATCCCATAAAGTAAGCATATTCCTAGTCAACCTCTTAAGTCTGCCAGGAATATTTTAAAGGATATGTAAAGTTTCTATAGTATAAGCAAAGGCTTTTCTTGCCTTAACCAACGACGAGCTAAATTGTATTTGTATTCATATGCTTTAATCCAATCGTTGTTTTAGTCTTTTTTTTGTAAAACCAATCTAAAGTTAAGTCGATTTTTATCAGATTTTATTCATTTACTTGTACAAATAAACTATATTTATTTTTATAGCTAAATTTGAGGAGCGTCGTCAAAAAAATGTGTATAAATAATTAAGCTATGAAATTTTGCTTTGTCAATAAAAGGCAAAAGCAATTAAAAATATTTTTGATTTTCATTCATTTTACATAAAAAAAAAATAAAAAAGAAAAATGAATTACAATTTATTGGCATGCAGCAAATATGAAACATAAAAGCCAGCGAAACCTGAAATTCATTTAGGAAAACAGAATTTTTTTGTTTGCATCTCCGTGTGTGTATGTGTGTGGGGGTGATTGTGTTTGTGTGTGTGTGTGTGTGTGTGTGTGTGTGTGTATAGATTAATCTCAATTTAAAATGCAGTCGCCACACAAAATGGAAAATGGTATCAGCGTAAAACCAAACAAATCCGGCAAGCTGACCGCATGATGAACAGGGTCAGATGTTTGCATCTGTCATTGTTCTATGGAATATAAATAGGCCCCTGATTGCAGCTGAAACCCGAGTGGAACCACGCAGACTACAACTAGAACTAGTCGTAGAGCCTCAAACGAATTACACACGCAATCCCATGCGGCAACTAATCAGCGTTCAGTAATCAGCTAGATCATCATCATCATGATGATCATTGTTATGATATGATATATGTACATTTGTTAGACATATGTATAAAATTGTTGCTTTGTGTTGTTGGTTTAAGTGTGATAAATCGACAGTTGAATAAAGCGCAACTGTGGGCGAGCAATTTTATACACAGTTTAAAAAATATAACAAATATGTAGAAAATGTAAAATGAAATTCAGGCTAACTAAAAGCTCGGCACAGAAGGGGAAATGAGAGCAAATGTAGCCAAAACAGATGATGATGAACCAGTCGAAGCAGCAGAAGAAGAATAACTAAAAAATGTACTTCAACTGAAATAAAAAGTGTCTTTTCATCAGAATTTTAAATGTGGCGCGCTGTCAGAGTTGAAGTGTGTGTTTGTGTGTGTGTGTGTGAGTACAGGTGTGTGCGAGAGCCTACCGAGCGGAAGTTATGGAGGCTACGTGACAAAAAAATAATAATATATATACATACACATATAAATATATATGCATATATACATATATATATATGCATGTATCCTAAATTTCACTTTCGCTGCTGTCTGTTTTTTTTTTTTTTGTGGACAGGTAGGCAGGCAAGCACAAGCGGGCAGTCATTGAGGCAGCCAGCGACGACGCCGACGCCACTCGATAAACCACCAATACTTGCAGACTCCCATATTGTGTGTGTGTGTGTGTGTGTGTGTGTGTGCCTTACATATACATACATAATGGCAATGTGTATATAAACAGCCAAATTATGAATTTGTAGGACACTTTCACCTGTGTGTGTGTGTGCTTTTGTGTTTGTGTGTGCGTGCGTGCTGCAAAATGCTAAAGACTTTACGGATCAAGGAACTCATCAAAAATCGTTATATGTTAAAATCGGCAGCACAATAAATGGGCATTAATCACTCGGGGCAAATAGCAAACAAAACTTTTGATAATATTTAATTAATGTAATTTAATTTATTTAGTTAATCAATCAAAAGGGATTTCAACTTACCTTGGGCTTTGTGCGTTGCATACAAGATTGTTGGAACTGTTGGATTTATCTTCGAACTACATATCACTTTTTATGTATTTTGGTTTGTATGAATTTCTATTATTATTCTTATTAGGTGTTGTTTATTTTTTACTTGGCATTTATTGTTGCACGAATGCACTGCAGTCAGTTGGGGGGAAAACTATACTGCCACAAAAATTGGAATTCCATCAGGATGCCAAATCGAGCTCACACAGATACACAAACTTCTGGTCGGTCCTTATGCCATATGCCGCATATGTCTCTGTGTGTTTGAGTGTATGTGTGTGTGTGTGTGTGTGTATTCGTGTAGTTGTGTATGTGTGCGTGTTTGTTTATGTAAATTGGGTATATGTCGAAAAACACTTATTTGGAATTTTACTTATGTACTGTCTTATGTTTTTTTTTTGTGGTTTTTTCTTTTTGTTATAAATTCTATTTTTTCTTTTTGCGCACTGAAATCTGCCGTCGATTCGCCGCTGAGTTGCAGTTGCTCGCAGAGCTTCTGTTCGTTACACGACGATGTCTCTAGCTAAACTAAAGTGAAAAACCATCGCAATGCGTACTTTAAACTGTGCTACAAAACATACGGACTGCGTACGACCTGCCCTCGGCTTTCCACTCTCTCTCTCTCTCTCTCTCTCTCTGCGTCGCTACCGCTCTCTTTTTCATCTGAAATTGCAAATCCTGCACAGTGTCCGTCATCATTTTTAACATTATCTTATCATTTATCTAACCTTTTTTTTAGTGAATGCCACAAATCACACCCTTTTACTTTGAATGTTCAATTTAAAATATGATAAAAATATATTATGTACAATTTTATTATTTGAAATAAGATATATCTTATAAATTATATATAATATTAAATTTTATTTACATATAATTAATCAAATCGTAACTTTAAAATAACATATGAATAAAATAATATTGAAATAAAGAAAAGATTTCATTTAACATAAGTTAGTCAGTCCCACTGTGACTAACTGTCTGCTCGTTATCTTCGTGCCTGCCTGCTAGGAGCGCTTCGTCGCAAGAGTTTCTATATGGCTTTCGCTGTGCTCGCCGTATAACTGTTATACGTCAAGTCGTTGCGCTGTTTCCGCCGCCATCGCAACGCCTTTCTGTATTATGGCCAAGAAGCTTTTTTTCGCATGCTCTCTTTTTTTGTGTTTGTTGTTTGTTTTTGTTTTTGTTGGCAACTTTTGGCACTCGTCGCCGCTTCGCTCTTTGCCCCTCAAATTTTGCGGCTTTTGCTGCTGCTCTTATTGTTGTTTTTGGTTTCGGTACTGCGTCTGCTTTGCGCCCAACAAAATTTCATTATCTCTAGTGGCCGTTTGTTTATTTATTTGTCAAGCATTTTATTTTCGGGCAGGTGGGGCAACCCCGCCCCCCTTTGCTGGATTTCTTTTTGTTGTATGTTGAGCAAATGTTGTCAAAGCTTTATCGCCAAACGCACACACACACACACATACTCATACAATTATTCAAAGCTGAACCAAATAATTTTAGTTTGACCAAATTTCGCCCGCATTTCGACCACTGTGCGGCCCCCAAAAATCGATCGCACGTTCTTCGGTTGTATTACACACACACACACATACACACACACGCATATGTACTTAAGTAAATACACACACGCTCTTAAATATACACACACATATACAAACACACACAGAAAGCGCTTTACACCTTTTCTTTTGCAAAACAGAAATCAGCAGCTTTTGCAGCTGTTTTTTATGCCGCTGATTTATGGTACACAAATTGTAAATTTCGTTTGTCAGCTGTTTTGCTTGTTTTTTTGATAACAGCAAACGATGAGGTGCGTTAAATGAAATTCAGTTACTGCAGCAGTTATATTTTTATATCTACTTTTGCTTTAGTTGCATCTTGTATCGAATCAACAAACCAAAACTAAATCCTGACAAAATGCCGCACACAACGCGAGAGACGAGGAGACGACGACGACGACTCACGACAGAATGACGAACGGCAGAAGTAACGGTCAACAACAACAGCTGCAAATTCGCGGGATAGACACAACAACAACAAAAGCTTTCGCCTGCAGCTGTGTCGGAAAACTTACGCTGTTATGCATTTGATGTATAACAGTTCTTATGCTTGCAGCTGTCAAAAGCTTTTAGTTCAACTAAAAGCTGCAGCTAGAGCTGGAAATGGTCAAAGCTGTGCATGAAGCTAAGACGAACTTCATGCTAACGGAAATCAAATAAATTTTAATAAAACCATAATTACCAGCGGCTTATAGTTTCATAAAAATTGAGAAAAAAATAAATTGAATCGCACGAGTAATACATTTTTAAAGCGATAATAAAAATCAGTGTATTGTGACCCATTTGAAAATCAGAGCTTTGATCCATGCGCTGCAATTGTGAACTGGTAAGCTTTTATGCTCCTCAAGCTCCTATTCGCATGAATTGTGTCTAGCATACTTTTGGGCTGAGGCAAACTTTCAAAAGCGAACAGCTGGCAACATTGTTTTGAACTTAGTCAAAACTTGTTGCGCCAGTTTGATTCAGTTGTCGCGTGCATCTCGTCGCATTCGAACGTCACATTGTCCCGCCCATAACCTGTGCACTATTTACAAAGGTGGGTCTTCTGCTTTCTACAAACGCTGTTGTTGTAAATCGCATTACTTTGGCGTAGGCGCGCATTAAAATTTATTTATAAATGCTACTACAAAACGAGCACAGATTACCGCACTGATATTATTAGTAACAACTTAACAATATGCAATCGCAATAAATTATATTACATTTTTTGTTTACGCCCAAACGATGGCATCATTTTCAAAATCAGGCGTGGCCCTGGAAAGCATTCAATTTGCATAGTTTCGAGTGAGGATCAACAAAAAAAAAATATAAACAAAAAGCCCGTAAAACAAAATAAAAACAATTCAGTGTCAAAACAACAACATTAGATACGTCATCAGGCCATCCACTTTGCCTTGTTTTTCCAAATTAAAAACATATTTAATTAGCAACACTTAAAAATCGTGCATCGAAACCTGAATACTCTGTCATCATTCAACTGTCTCAAAAATCAAACACTCATTTTCAGCTCTGTAACACAAACAACACTCGACAACACTTTATTAGCTCAACTTTTTATATATACATTTCAGTTTAAGTCAGCTTGTAGAAAATCACAATGCCAAATTGATCGTTTTCATGTTTGTCACGCATTTTTCAAAGCCAAAAATCAGCGTCAAAAGTGAAATTTAATAATAAAAAATAAATAAATAAAACCAGTGGATTTTCAAACTGGGCGCGTTTACACATTCGTAGAGGCCTTGATGAGCCGCTAAAGACTTGTGAAAAAATATAATTTCTTATCTTGCAGTTGAGAATTCCAGCGAAACCAGCAAACAAACCGCAAACAAACCAGAGAAACACGGAAATAGGGAAACAGAGAAACAAACCGCTTTCTAGTTTAAAATGGGCAATCCGATTTGGTTCGTCTTCTGGCTGCTCGTCTTGTGGTTCGTCTCCCTGGTTGTGGCCTTCTTCTGCAGCTTCTTATACATTATCCTCTACACGCTTGTCGTCTGCATTCCGGGACTATCGGTAAGTGGGCAGGGCTTGTGCGGTGGGGGTCATAAAACATCATGATGACCTCATTACCACAATTTAGTTTGGTTCGCTTATCGCGACATGTAGATTCCCCGAGCATTACTCATTATGTTCGCCGCCCGTCTAAACCCCCGAGTCTTGTGATAACATGATAAAAATATATCAAACCTTTCATGTGCTCGACTATAAAAAAAAATTGTCTAACTAATCACGGACTGACTTGTATAATTCCATTATTTCAGGGCGTCTCCGATATACTGCTGCAAGGAGTGCAATTTCCGCATTATTGCGCCCAAGCCATGATGGACTGCAAGTCGCTGTGCTAGAATAAATCAAATTCTAGTTTTAAGTGTAAAATTCGTAAATGTTCAATGAATCGCTGATAATTGTCTTTTATAAATTGTAATTATTATTTAATAATTGTAAATCGTCTTTTACTTATAATTAATTGCTAACCGCAGACAACTGGCGCTGGCAATGAATGCAGTGTGTGTATGTGTGTGTCTGTGTGTGTATGTGTGTGTGTGTGTGGAGAGCCTAATACTAAATGAAAATCAATATTAACACAATAAATTTTGCTATGTAATCTCTGTGGCGCTATTTTAGATGATAAGAGTATGATTTGAACTGATTCCACGATGACTAACGCCGTCAAAGCCGCGTTCATTTGGTAGTCGAGGCAACCGTTTCAATCTGCTGACTGCTACCAGCTGCATCCAGCACAGATGCTGCTGCTGCTGCCGCCGCCGCTCCACCTGCTCCCGTTCCCGGTCCCGCTACTGAGCCTGCTGCTGCTGCTGTAGCTCCAGGATCGGCAGGATTCGCTGAGGTTGACGGGGGCGCTTCGCGTTCGTTGATGGCTCGCAGTTCGAGTTCACCGATTAGTTGCATGACGCGTATTTTGCCCTCGGTGGCCAGCTTGGGCGGCAGTCCCTTGACCGTGGCGCATATGCTGTCGAAGAAGAGATCGAACGAGTCGCGTGGCGCCGACTCCAATGAGGTAAGATGATGATGGTGCTGCAGCTGATATGACTGCAACTGCCTGCCGCCTGCCACATATGACGACAACTGCTGCTGCTGGCGTTGCGAGGAAGAATAACAGCCGGAGGCAATGGGTGTTATGGTCGCCTTCGAGGTGATCTCGTGCGTCTGGGCGGGACTTTGGGATGTGCCGGCCGACTTGTTCAGCGGTGCGGTCACCTTCTTAATGGTGATGCGGCAGGGTTGGGGCACTGTCGCCGGCTGACACTGGGTTGCCAATTGGCCAGCTGGCGTTAGCTGAGCGTGTGGAAACTCATTGATGGTCACCTGCAGCGGCAGGTAATCCAACATACCCGAGTGTTGCGAGTCTGTTTCCGAGACGCGACGCTTGCAATCTGGCTCGTATTCGGCATCCAAGTCGGCATCGTCTGTATCGCCATCCGCTTCCACGTCTGCGTCGGCTTCCCCAGCCCCATTGCCAGCCCCATCTTCTGCCTCTTCATCGTCATCGTCGTCGTCGTCATCAGCCTCATTCTCTCCGTCAGCCCCGTCGTCTGCCTCCTCCACCTTGCATAAGCTACCGGCTGAGGCAAATTGAAGCACGGGCAACAGACTCTCATCATCGTCATTTAGCTCCCACTTCACTGCGCCGGCAACCGTATCCAGCTGCCCCTTGGACACCTCCTTGCGCTGGGCATTCTCCGAATGTTTGATGCTGCCCTCGTGCTTGCCCAGATCCGAACGTTTCGCGCTCAGCCTGCACTCGCAAATGGCGCAGAACACAAAGTGTGGATCCGTTTCATCGAGTATTATCCACGGATATAGCGATTGATATTCCGGCTTTGTTTTCGGCCGGGGATATTTCAGCTGGGCGCATGGCCTGCGTGGTCTGTACTCCGAGCGCAATGCATCTCTGTGGTAAGGATTGAATCTTGATATAATCTCCGTGTGTGAATGGTGCATTAAATCCATTAACTACTTACAGTTTTTCCTGGGTTAGTTGCAAATTCGACATTTATTGATGCTTACAACAAATATAAACAACTTCGGTTCAGTGTGACCGCATCTGCGTAATGCAAAAAATCCCACTAAAAAATACCCACAGCATTTGAAATAAAGAAACTGCAAATGTTAACGAATCGTGACTGTTTACGAATTAAATTTATTAATTTGTATCCTCGAACATAATCATGAGTAACTATAAATTTGTATATCAATCATATATTTTATTACAATTTTGCTCTCTCCTGGAGTTGCCATAGTATAAGGATATTTTTCGGAGGGACTACTTGGCAGTTTATGGCTTATTTATCTCCTCGTCACTATCTTTAGGTGTCATCACTTGTTTCTTTTCACTCTTAGCCGCTTTTTCAGTTACCAAATTCTCACTGCTGCTGTCATAGACCATCTCGATAACGTATGGATAACTGCCACTGGCTTTGATAGCTGTTGTCGTTGTCTCATTTTCAGGTTGGCCATCAGAAGACTTTTCATCCTCATCATCACAATCACATTGGCTATGAAAAATATTATAAAAAATATAGAAAAATATATGAAACTTAAGGGATTTCAAAGACAAACCTCGGTTTAAGACTCAGCGTTTCCGAATCCTTATTGCAAGGCGTTTCCACATTGACTTTATCCATATCATAGACCCCAACGATTTAATTTGAACTTATTGAAACTGATAAAATCTGAAATGATTTTATTCGTTACTATTTTTATTGTATGTATTATTTTTTTTATTTACCTGATCGTCTTTTTGCTCCTCTATAATCGGTGTTGTTGTGCGACGTGTCGGCACCGCCGGAACGATCAGCGGTTCCTGGGATATGACGAGTCCTGCGCGAATCGTTCGCATTCTGTCTGCCTTGTGGAGCGGATCTGTTGTCAGCGAAACGTCGATTCTTCTGTTGTCTAGCCTCCTCGGATGGGGCTGGCAATCGCCTCGATCTCGGATCTTCCCGCTGAATTGAGTATCGCTGATGCTCCGTGGCAGTCCCTGGACGATATAATCGATACTCGTTCGCAATCATTCTACGAAAGAGTTGGTTATCCCGCTCCATTGGATGGCGTTTGTATTCGTCAAATTGATTGGGAAACTGTCGCCGATGTGGTCGAAAATTGGCACTTGAGGCCTGATATCCAATGGGTGTAGCATTTCCAGATCGACTAGGGCTCCGTCGGCTTGGTGCAGCTGGTGTCGCTTCCTGCTCACTGGTCACCGAGCCTGCAAGCAAAGCTATTCCATTAGACAGCACCCGTTAAGCACCAGTGAAATATAGTTCCACAAACCTTGTAATGCATTTAGGCTTTCATTGTTTCCGAATGGTGGAAATAGGGCGGATGTGCGGGCATCTCGATTATTAGTGTTAAGTGATTCATAAAGCGGTCCGTAGCCAGGGCTAAAGCCAGAGTGGTACGTCATCGGGCTATTAACCGCCAGAGATTGTCGTACTTCCGGAAACCAGGTATCCCACTGCAAATAAAGCCGTGTTTTATTTCTGTATTTTGGAAAAACACTTACTTACCATGTAAAATATAGCATAGCCTATTAGGCAGGCCAACAAAAGGACTGCGGTGAATTTTGTGAACTGCAGCAGGACGAATAATAATAAACCTCCTGCAACCTCAACGTGATGGACACCCACCAGCTCCAGGGTCTGCCGTATCTCGGCAAATCCTATGGATTGTAAAAAGCGCAGAGCGGCACTTAGGCCATCGCAGCCGCACTGGAACAACTCATCCATTCTGTGAACTGAGGAAATTATGTTATTGTTGTCTGTTGTTGATCAAATGAAAACATGCTTTAGCAACATGACATTCAAATTAAGTTCATAAAATACTAAATAAATACTAGATTAAAAATACTGCACATTTGTAATCGAGCGATACAAGCCAAATGTTATCGATGTTAACTATTGGTAATCAGATGTTTCGCAGGGAATAGCAAATATAACAAACATAAGATAAATTAACGACTAAAGAATAGTAGTTAAATGCTGCGTCACACAATGGCCGAATTCGACGTAAATGCAGGCCTGCAACTCGTACTGAAGCGCATCGAGACAGTGTTGGCGAGTCGCCCAAAGGTGACTTTCATCTGCACTTGATTCAATTGTTATCTGCTGCTTAATAGATGTTTACTCCACTCTTATCAGGAAATCAAGGCTGGCAAGCCACTTCTGGTAGCTGTTAGCAAAACCAAACCAGCTGAAAGTGTGATCGAGGCATACAATGCCGGTCAGCGGCACTTTGGCGAGAACTATGTCCAGGAGCTGGTCGAGAAGAGTCAGCATCCGCAGATCTTGGCACAGTGTCCCGATATTAAATGGCATCTAATTGGCCACCTACAGGGTAACAAAATCAACAAAGTGCGTTGACAGCTTGGCTTCTGCAACAAACTCCCTTCTAACATCTCCCACCTCCATTTGATTTTTTTAGGTGCTGAAGCTACCCAATCTGCATATGATCCAAACTGTGGATAGTGAGAAATTGGCCGATAAACTTGATGCAGCCTGGTCGAAGCTGGAGCCTCCGCCAAGTGAGCCACTACGTATCCTTGTGCAAGTCAATACCAGCGAGGAAGATGGTAAGAATAATAGCTCCAAGACGCATACACTAACCAAATTCATAATCACATCAATTGCTGTACAGTGAAGAGTGGCATTGATGCCAGCGCTGCGCCCTCCCTGTATCAATATATCAGCAGCAATCTGAAGCATTTACAGCCCGTGGGCATTATGACAATTGGCGCCTATGGCTTCGACTATAGCAACGGACCGAATCCGGACTTTGTCTCACTGATGGCGGTGCATGCGGACATATGCCAGGCCAACGCTCTGCCAGCCGAAGCGTTGCAGGTCTCAATGGGAATGTCCAATGACTATGACAGAGCGGTACGTAAGATGCGGTCAGTTGCTCTGGCCAAGCTATATTCATGATGCTTTGATGTTTTGCTCTTTCAGATCGAAATGGGCAGCACCATAGTGCGCGTTGGCACAGCTATTTTTGGACATCGTGCCTCGAAGGCATAGGCCCAAGGCAGCGAGTGAATTGCCAGAGGAATTTATACATAGCGCTCTCGTTGTGGGAATCTTACTCAATGTGGATTTCTGGCACAACATATGTATGTACAATGGCCTGCGATTAATACAGTTGCTTCTCAATGACGTCCATGCTGAGAATTGTTATTGGAAAAAAAAGCGATCGTGTGCACAGCAAAAAATGAAATTCTTCCAAGTTCGTTTATATACCATATATTGATATAGATAAATTGTTAGACACATAATATACATATAGTACATGCTCCTATGTATGCTGTAAGATAATGTATGCATTGGGCTCGTATATATTTAGAAAATCTTGAGATAAACAAATATTATATGCGTAGGTTGTTGTTTCCTTGCTACATATGTGATTCTTCTGGTACTATGTAGATATAAAGTAATATGTATATATATATATATATATTTGTTATAATATTGTTATTGTCATATTCCGAAATGAAATACATCAATTTATGGTTTATTTGTAAAATGAGGTTTCGATTTGGTTGAAGGTGTCAAATTTGCATCATTTTTGCCTTGAGAAATAGAATACGCTTTGAAATTAATTATTCTTTTGGCATTCTCTTGATTTTCTTCACTATTCTGCATTATTTTTAAAGCATTCATCCTGCAGTTGTTGGCTTATTCTTTTTTTTTTTTGGTTGGCCTGCAGCCAAAATGTCGCCTGGTTACATGCCAAATTTTAAAACACTTTGTGAATTCGATAAAAAAAAATCACTTTCAAAACAGCGAAAAGTTCAATTTCAATTATGAAGGCGCGATGATTTATCAATGCATTCTTACGCTAAAAAGACGACACTTTAAGGTCTTAAAAAAAACCAAACAAAATTGCGTATGTTTAAGAATTGATTTTCAGAAATTTGTTTAATTTAATTATGTATTTGGGAATTCGATACGCATATGGTAATTGAATACTAGGCTCAATTCTTTCATTAATAAAATAAGAAAAGTACGTAAGGAAATCAAAATCAGTGCAAAAATCATATAAAATTATAAATTAATATTTACACGGTTTGCTTTTGGCTGTATATGCAAGTGGATAAAATAATTGCTTATAGACTTCAAAATTTGCAAACATAAACCCAATTAAAATTATGTTTTGCATAACGCACTTCAACTATCTTCAGTATTCGTTATTTTTAATAATTTTAAATTGATAAAATATTTTTTGTGTAGAACAGTAAAAAATACATACAAATAATATAAATATTATAAAAGTCTGAATGACATGGACATATAATTATCTATTGATAGAATTAAGGTTTATGGGGTTCGAGTAGCATTATTAAATAAATATTTGGTGTACAAAATAAAGTTCTTTCCATACTCGATTTGAGTAACGTACTCAGTTTGATATGGATATGCCGTATAATGTTTCCGAGCAAAGCAAAAAATCTTCGCTGGTTCGCAAAAAAAAACATAAATTTATCGACTAATAGCAATTTGAATTACACATTCATTCATAGACTATATTCCATAAAAAAATCAATCGAATTCATTTGACAACCTTGTTTTGGCAGCGGTGGAGGTAGAATATAATTAACATTTGTATGCAAAGTTCATTTAACTTTAAAATGAACCGTAAAATAATCCATATTTTGTAAAGTTATGTAATGGTCATGGAAAATTATATTTAAGGAAAAAAAGTTTGAATTTTTTAAAATCAGATTTCGTTTTGTTATGTATGCGACACAAAATCTGTAGAAGCTCTATAAGCTTTGGAATTCTTTGCTCTCGCTTTATATTGCACAATATGCAAAACAATTTTAAAACAGAAAATGCCAGTCGTTGAAAATAGGCAAGGTAAGACACGAACATGCCCGTCGTGTATATAGCCTACAATTTGCATAGTATATATATATAAATATAAGTATATATATTCATATACTGTACAGCGCATATTGAATAGACTAAAGCACACATGTGTATTGTATATGTATTGGTGGATGTATACCAAGGGAAATGTAGGTGATTTCAAAGCAAGAGGACACTTTCGCACAGGCCTCAAGAGCAAAGATGAATAATACAAAACAAGATTTGAATAGTATGATTCTCAAAATGTATATAGTATAACAATCAGCAGGCAGCATAAGGCACAAGAATTTTTTCATATCACACCGAAATAAATTTGAACGTATATATGTATATATATATATATACATACATATGTCAGGCGTGAGAAATGTACAACAAGAACAAGTATATACGCCTTGCTCTGTCCGTTAAAATTAGAATTTGATTAGAAGAGCTAACGATGAGTAAACAATTCAAGCGACGGAGCTGGCTGGCCAATGGTTGAGGAGGAACCGCACCCCACTGTCCGCCTGGGCGGACCTCGCCTTGCAGATACTAAAAAAGGCAGCACGAATATTGCTGCAGAGGCAGACACAGATACAGCTACAGCGAAAGCGAAAAAACGAATGAACGCGAACCGAGCCGAGCCGATGGCAGCCGAAGGTGTGCTCGGTTTCGCCCATGTGGGGATCGCAAGCGGAAAGCGCATGAAGAAGAAACGGCCAAAAAGATCTTAAAACATCATTGTCTTGGCGATAAAATCAGCCAGAGATTCAGTGTGCTCTGACCGCTCGACTCGATTAGACAACACATCTAAGTTCAGCACCATGGTAAGGAGCCTCGGAATATACAGCAATCTATATCCATATGCATGGATCCATAAAGGACTCGCGTTATATATGTATATATATATATACCCTTAGATATATATATATATATATATATGTATATATTTGTGTGCAGTGAATTTGTTGCATTCTCAAGTTGTTCAATCGAAACTGAAACTCAATTGAAACATTGACATTAAAGTAAAAGTCTTAAAAGATCAAGTGATTTGTTAATAACCATCATAATATCGTGCTGACCTCAATGACTCACCTGTATGTGGATTATTGTGCCAGTTGTATATGAACATGTATCCAAATACATAGTTCAATAATGGAAACTATTTATAAATCTCGAGCAATTGTGTGAAAAGTTTTCATCATTTCGAAATACTCTCGTAACGCGTGAAATTCTATAAATGGATCGGTCGAAACGCATCGTCAATGTAATCTGATAGCTAGAGCGAAACGGAACGTTTCTCGTATAGATATAGCCGCTTACGTAATACGCATCGAGTATTTTTAGCCATCCAATTGGTATTGGAATCATTTCTTTCGAAACATTTTCCAAATAATTAATCAATCAAATTCACTGCGCAATGGTACAAAAAAAGGATGAATAATCAAATAAAGTTGACTGAGAATTGATTGACTTGAATATTTATACATTCGAAATGAATCCTTTTTTTCTAGGCGGATGAGAAGAAGAAGGTTAAGAAGAAGAAGACCAAGGAAGAGGGTGGTACTTCCGAAACCGCTTCCGAGGCAGTGTCTGAGGCAGCAACCCCCGCACCTGCTGCAACTCCTGCCCCAGCTTCTGCCACTGGTTCGAAGAGGGCGTCAGGCGGCTCTCGTGGCTCAAAGAAATCGAAGCGCGCCGGTTCCTCCGTGTTCTCTGTCTTCTCCCAGAAGCAGATTGCCGAATTCAAGGAAGTAAGTTTACCAAAAAAAAAAAAAAAAAAACCAAAAAAAAGGGAAACGGGAGCACCCTCAACCCAAAAAATATCCTGTGCCCAATCCAAAAAGCCTTAACCTTTGCCTGCACCTTTGCCATCCATGGGATGTATGTAAATGTAAATGTAAAGCGAAGGCGGCACTTTTGTCACAAAGTCACAAGACCAAAATCACCAACCACCTCTCTGTCTCTTTCTCTCTCTCTCTCTCTATCTCTTTCTGTGCGAATCTATGAATAAAGGCCTTCCAACTCATGGATGCCGACAAGGACGGTATTATTGGCAAGAACGATTTGCGCGCCGCCTTCGACTCTGTCGGCAAGATCGCCAATGACAAGGAGTTGGACTCCATGCTGAGCGAAGCGTCCGGTCCAATTAACTTCACCCAATTGCTGACCCTGTTCGCCAACCGTATGGCCACCTCTGGTGCCAACGATGAAGACGATGTTGTTATTGCTGCCTTCAAAACATTCGATAACGATGGTCTCATCGATGGTGATAAATTCCGCGAAATGCTCATGAGCTTCGGTGACAAATTCACCATGAAGGAAGTCGATGATGCCTTCGATCAGATGGTCATTGATGACAAGAACCAAATCGATACCGCATCCCTGGTTGAAATGCTCACCGGCAAGGGTGAAGAGGAGGAAGAGGAAGCCGCCTAAGCAGCAGCAGACCCGTACACATCCTAACTCTAACTCAGCATCCATATTACAGCCAAAAAAAAAAACTTACAAAAAACTTTTAAAATCGTCAAAAAAAAAAATAAACGTAATTAAAAGAAATGCTCGTTTTACATATGTAAATTTTAAATATTTATATAATCTCTTTTTGTTAACCAAAAACACCAACCAACCAAAAAACAAACAACACCATTTAATACTCTTAACTTCTTCAACAAACAAAAATCGAACTTGGTACAAGGACCAACATTTAATCCAAGTGCCAAGTTCCACGTATCATTTTAGGGATACTTTAATTTCAAAAATGTCAAAGCGCCATCTTGACAGCTAGTTTTCTAGTTGATTTACTATTAAATTTTACACGTAAAATTTATAAATAACTGAAATCTATTTTATTTAAAAACACTAAAAAAAAAAAAACGAAAGAAAAAAACCAACAAACAAAGAATATTTCATGTTTATTTTAATTCGCTGTTCGTTGAAGAACCACAGAGAAATCAAAAATAGATAGAAAGATGAGCAGCCACTGTGGTTTTCCACCACAGTCGCGTTCAGTGGGTAGCTAAATATACTAAAAATATACAACAATAGGTAGACTATTAGGCCTTGGCCCACATTTGTTAGTTATTTATTTCGCAGGTTAAGGAGAGAGAGACATACACAAAAGCAGAAGAAGAAAAGGAACAATTCGTTAATCGTTAATATTGTCAGAGTATCTTTTATCTGAGAGCCAAAATATTATATACATAAAATATATCATACCTGTCTAAACACACAATACACTACATATTATTATTAATATGCATATCTCTATCGTTCGTTAAACAATTTCAATATAACAAAATACAAAGTTATTGAGAGTTAGCCTAAAGAAAAGTTGCAAAACAAAAAACCAAAAAAACAATACCAAAGAAAAGTTCATTCACTCAAATTGTTTTTATGCGAATTTACATAACTTAACCAAATCACAAATTTTCTACTACTTACTATCAAAAAGTGTTTCTAGTTTATGCGTTCAAAAAGTATCGAAGAGTTATTAAAATGCAAAAGTTGATTTATTTTTAAAGAGTTCACGTTTATGTTTTCTAACAACGGAGGCGTCGTTACGCCGATCCACACATATATATATATCAATATATATATACATATATACATAGATCTAACATGTATACCAATACATACATATACTAGACCAAGTCAGAGCGTGCTCGAGTTGTTCAATTCGATGCAAATAGAGACCATATATCGTTATATATGTATGTATGTACATCATTTTTATATTTTTTTGAGAGCAAAGTATCTTCCCGCGAGGACAGAGGCAACTTGCCGGGTGCATCAGTACCAGAGAAGTGGAAAAAATAAATGAATAAATAAAAACAAACAAGATATGGGCAAATGATCAAGTAAATGAACAAAATATTTATATTAGTAGTATTTTGACATAAATGAATACACAAGAATCATTAGTACTTAAGCTTATTTCAAGAAGAAATAGCATCACTTTACATTACTTATGTACTACCAAATACCAATTACCAAAAACAATACCAATTCAATTCAACAAGTTGTTAAATGCAAGATCTTTACTTCAGTATAAATTAAGTTATATGGCAAAAAGAAAATACATAAAAAAATCTTTTTTTAACCCGGTCAGAAATATTACAAAAAAAAGGATAAAATGAAAAGAGAATTGTTTTTATATAACAATGATGATGAAGATGATATCGAAGACTTTGATGAAATAAACTAAAAGCGAGTCGTCTAAAAAAAAAAACAAATATAACTCTGTGTTTGATTAATTTGGTTGGTTGTTGGCCGGGTATAAGAGTCGCAGTATAAGAGTTAAGTTTGAGTCGGTTGCCAACTCAGCTGAGCGTAAAGCAAAACAAAAGCTCAGCTCCAGCGAAAACCAGTAAACAGAGCCAAACTCAACACAGTTGGCCAAAACGATCGTCGGCCTGGGCCTTCATGCGACCAGTTTTCAGTTGCCTTTCGACGTGTTGTGTTTTTTCCATTAGACGCACGCATGCGCTGTGAATTATGAAAGTGCTTGAATTTACTGTAAATACAACTATTTGGTAATTGGCTTATGGCTCAAAGTGCTGGAGGAAGTCAAAAGAAAGAATTCTAAGAATATGCCTCAAGGCACTCAGCTAACAGGCCCTGCAACGCAATTGCTATGCGTCATCTTGGCCTATGGAGTTGCCACACAAAGCGGCGGTAAGTACCAAGCCCTGAGTATATAATCAGGTATTGTTGTAAATGCGGAAACGCCTTCGATTCCCAGTCTTTGCTTGTTCATTGTATGCAAATCCAAATCCAAATCCAGAAAAAGCAGTTCACTTTGATTTTAGTTTATACTGCACGTAGGTGAAAATGAAAGTAAATCTGCAATCGACATCGCCATCACACCATTTGAGTCATCATCAATATACTCTGTTCCCAAAGAGACAAAGAGTATATTGGTCTTTTGCAATTGTCTTCTGTATAAGTTCCATCTTACTTGGAGACTTTATTAATGGATCTGCCACTCATTTGACGTATGTAATTAATTTGCCAGGCTCCAAGATATAAGCTATTTGGTGATAATACAAGATTTGGGTGACAAAGAAATATAAAAAATAAATTCTTACAATTTTACAGTCATATTCTCTTCCATCAAAAGAAGTTTTCAAATCGGTGGTCAGCTGATTAATAAAAAATAATATGTATAAATGTTAATAAAAATATCTACAAATTAATTTTTTCTCCTTATTTTATCAATCAAACTAAGACTATCAGTTAACTGATAATCTCATTTATCAAAGGTCTAATCATATTACAATTTTTCAACTCACCGTTTTCAAGTATAATAAATAATTGATTTATGATTGAAAAAAGTAAAACAAATTTCAGCAATTTTACAGCTATTATTTTAACCTAAATATTAACTTCGTATTCAGGTAATAGTTGGCAAATAACCGTCATCTATGTGTTTTTTTAATTATATTTTTTCAAGTCACGCTTTCAAAGCACTGTCATAAATTATGTTCGATGACAACAGACATTTAAGAGAGTGAAATTCCCATAATCACGCAGAGAATAGAGTATGGCGTAGTTGGTATCTGCCAAAAGCAAAGTTTTTACCTGTTTTTCAACTAATTTTGCTTTGCTTCTCTGCTTCGTAAACAGTTGCGGCACAGCACCTGATTGCATATCTCTCGCAGCATGGACTCCATGGCGAGATCACATTTCGACAGAGTGGTCCCGACCAGGTGGAGATTCAGTCGAACTTGGAGGCCACGCTGCAGTATCCGGATCAAGTGTGGAGCTGGGCGGTGCGACGCTTCCCCGTGGACTACACCAACATCGATCCCGAGGAGCGTTGCGAACTGGACCGACTGGGCGCCCAGGTGCTGAGCTTCGATGATGATCTGGAGTACTTGGTGTTGCCGGGCAATGAGACAGCGACCTGGCAGCACAAAATGCAGTTGATTGGCGATCGTGGCATCTGGGGCAAGTCGCTGGTGCTGACGGAAATCAATTCGAATGCTCGCATCTGTGCCACAATCACCACGGTGCAGAGTTCGCTGGAGCACATGGCTGAGGCACGATTCAATACGCCCATTGCGGGCTCCGTTTACTTTCGCTGGCTGGCACCGTCAGATGACGAGAGCGGTGACACCCTCATCTACTCGGATCTGTATCACATACAGGAGCAGCCGCCACCCGTTGAGGGTGAGGCAAGTCGCCCGTTTACGCAGCACCACTGGAAGATCTTTGTGACGGACATCTTCAAGCTGGATCATCATCGCAGCGAAGACAACTGCAACTTTCTGCAGCTAGTGTTCGATCCGCAGGGCAGCGGGTCGGGCAAGGGTATTGGCGACTTAGATGCACGTCTGGGCAGGATTGGTGTGGCGAAAAATGCCCTTCGCAAGGCACAGCGCAGCGTCTACAGGGATGCCAAACTGGCGTTGCTACCCTCCGATCTGACCATTCCACATCGCACACTCTACCTGGTGATCTACGACAATCAGCATCCGGACAACTACTTGGCCTGCACCAAGATCAGACACGTTCCAGCCTTGACATATAAGTTAGTCTCGTACGCTTTCCAAATGGAGTTCAAATCTAACTCCTTTGATTCCTTGTAGAACCTTCATCAATTCCGGCGGCGTTAAGGGCGAGGTCACGCTTACGCAGCGCTCCAAGTTCGATCCCACTTTCCTCAACTTCACCCTGTCCACGCCACACTCCCAGCATGTGAGTCGCAAGTTCGCCGAGGATGTGGCCGCCTTTCGCATCCATAGTCTGCCGCCAACGCCTCAACGCCTTGGCCAGGCCAATTACTGCGAGACAACGGGCGAGCTGCACAATCCGCGGGAGCTGCAGCAGGGCCATGTGCCGCCACCGGGCTATGGCACTCAGGAGCAGTACGCTCTGGGCGATCTCAGTGGCAAGCTGCAGGGTCGCAACAAGCAGTACTGGCATCAGTACGTCCTGCCCGGCACCAGCTCCGAGCTGAGCGGTCTCTACTGGGATCTCTTTCTGCCGCTGCAGGGTCGCCACAGCATCGCCCATCGCAGTCTGGTCATCTACACCTACAACCGCACCGATGTCCAGAATATAACCCAGAACATTTGGGGCTGCTCCGCGTTGAATCTGTATCAGCGCAATGGCATCTATCAGCAGACCATGTTTACGGCACAGGTGAGACAGTGTCTTAAATAAAACTGTAGACTTCACTATAAATTATAGAACTCTTAAAAAGTAATGGCTATTAAACAGATTTCCCTTAAATTGGTTGCTTCAACAGAGATCCGTTAAGCTTTTGAACTAAATACAAATTGAAAGGAACTCTTTAATTAATTACTGATAAGATTGAGATCACTTTTTAGAGGAGGAAAGGAACTCTATTTGAAGATCGCTGTAAAGTTTCTTTTAACCAAGTTTCTTAAAAATAACTTTTAAGTTGTGACTCTTGCTTTATTAAATCTATATTCGATGCAGGGAGTTCAAAATTGGTAAAAGGGATATAAAGGTTTTGTGTCAAAGTAAGTAAAGGCAGAAGCAAGAAAATCTGACTCCATCAAGTATACATATTCATGATCAGGATCAAGAGCCGAGTCAATCTAGCCATATCCCACCAACTGAGATCCTTTTCGTTTGTAAGAACAAAGGATCTCAGCGACTATAAGAACTGAGTTAGATACTTAAAATCAGCAGTAAAGTTCATTTTATTTAATCAAACGCAAATTTGATAGACCCCCTTCTATTATTAATAAGCTGTACAACTTTCATCACGATCGGATAAGAAACACCCTCCAGCATTCATAAGTAATACCTAAAACTAATGAGCTTTCCAACTGTATTTAGGTACTTTTTCGCTATCCGATAGTTGGGCGTGTCATTCTTCGGCAGGCTGCCGAGCAACCCTGGCAGGATACCACCGTTCTGTTTGAGTATCTGATCCAAGCGGATGGTTCCTCGCAGAACACCAGCTACGAGCATCGCTGGGCCATACACAGCAATCCGCCGGGCAAGGATTTCTATGACTGGCAGCAACGCTGCGTCTCAGCGGGTGCCGTCTATAATCCCTTCAAGGTGGAGTGGGGCAATCGGAGTGTCGATGATTTCTGTCAGGCCCAGTTGCCAGCTATGTGTCGGCTGGGAGCACTGGATGCCCGCCTGGGCAGACTGACAATAGCTGGGAGGAGGCGAGATGCCAGGGTGTTCAGTCGTCGCATGTTCAGCGATGGGAATCTACCGCTATCCGGTAGTCACAGCATACTGGGCAAGTCCCTGGTCATTTACGATGATAACGGACCCAAAGCGCGAGGCGAGCGACTCGCGTGCTCCAGTGTGATTGGTCACTATCGTCGCAAGGTGGTTGCCAAGGATTGGTATGCCAACGGAGATCCACTGACAGTCAGTGGCAAGATGGAGATCACCCAGCAGTCAGAGTATGATATCAGCAATGTGGAGGTTCAGCTGAAGGGGCTGCAGGACAACGGCGGTTATCACATTCACATGGTAGGGAAACAATTGCGTTACATGATTTATTTTCTTACTTAAACGCTTTGGCTTCCACAGACACCCGTTGAGGCCAATCTGGCGTTTCCCTGCGAGGCATCCACGCTCTACGGCCACTGGAATCCCTTCGACGTTAATCCGAAGTCCTCGCCTCCGCCCAAACGGGGCACTAGCGATCAGTATGAAATGGGCGATTTGAGTGGCAAGTTTGGACGCCTAAATGGACTCATGCAGTACGAGGACTCCTACAATGATACCTATCTGCCACTCTTCGGCTACAGCAGCATCATTGGACGCTCTGTGGTCATTCACAAGCAAGAGCGAAACGCTCGCTGGGCCTGCAGGTGATTAATCGACAATAGAATCAATCATAATAATTGATAATCTAATATAAATCTTCATCGCTATTCAAGCACCCTGGAGCGTGGTTATAGTCCGAGTGAGGCACGTGAGCTGCGTGCCATTGCCTCGTTTCATCATCCCACTGGATATGCCTATGGCTATATTAAGATGACGCAGTTAATCCACAACGATGGCAGTCAGTCGGAGACGGTGATTGAGGTGAAGCTCCGACATCCTGGCAAGAACGATCGCAACTCGACGCGCAACCACAACTGGCAGATATTTGTCAATCCGGTGGGTGTCGATGCCACCGTCAAGCCCACTATTACCCGCTGCGTGGCAGGTGGTTACGTCTGGAATCCCTACTACACACAGCTCGCAGATCCCTTGAATGTATGTATATATCTATTGTATAGATTAAACAGATTAATTATGGCTTTTATTTTGCGCTCAGCTTGATCTGTATGAACAGGAGTGTGGACCGGATAATCCACTGCGTTGCTATGTGGGCGATGTGGGTGCCAGATTGGGCACAATTGGTGAGTAACTGCACCACACTTGAGATAACTCAGCTAACATGAACGTCTCTAGATTTGGGTGGGGAGCGGGTGGTGCTCACTGATACCAATTTTCCGCTGGAGGCACCTGTTGGTGCAATTGGCCGTTCGATTGTCATCTTTGGACCGGAACATTCGCACGAGCGTTTCGCCTGTGCCAACATCGAACCGGATCACAATGTCATCAAATACATTAATCTACAGAAGCCGCCACGTTTTGTTGTGTAAGTTCAGTTGCTCTAATCCACCAGCTAGTTATAACTTAATCCAAAACGTTGCTCATTTCCAGCGCACAATTTTTGGAGGAGCTGCGTTCTGTGATGGGCATTCCGGAGTGGATGTTGGATGTGGATGCGCGCAAAACAAAGGAGCTGCACGGCGGCGCCTGCATCCAGATGATCATACACTTCAAGGGACCACTGGCGCACCGCTTGGAGCTGGACATGTCCCGGCTAATAGCAGCTGGTCGCCTCGAAGCACCCAGTCTCTATGTGCCCGGCTATGTGAACCAGAAGCGCAAGTCGACCATCTCGTATCGTACCTGCGGCGTCAGAGATCGTAATGAAAAGCGTAAGTGCATCTGGAGTAGATATTCAGGATTTGCTCTAATTTAAAATGTTCTCTCTCACAGGCACCAAAACCCTGAAGGGCAGTTTCTCATCTAGTTTAGCATCAACCCAGCCAAAGTCTTTCGTATTAGCTGTCACAGTCATCACTTTAGTTTGTAGCCAAATTTTTGTAAATACTTATTGTTAATAAATAGTTAAAGGGGCAATAAAGTCACATATTTGTACAAAAGGCAGAATTGTATTTTTGTAGCGTTAATCGAATACCAACCCATTAAATGGATCCCACTGTCAAGGCTTTGGCGAAATGAGGTGTTTCTTATGATTTTTTTTGTCAACAAATCTAATTATCTAGATCCACAATTATCAACATTGATTGTCACTTAAGATTGCATACGTAATTCCCTGCTTAAGATAGATCTTGGTTGGCTTTTCATATTTAATCAAAATAGAATTTATATCAATTTGCTACCAATTTTAATCATTTATTTCATATATGTTAGTTATATATGGATATGCAGAGACAAAATTAATGAATAATAAGAAAGATCGGTAATCTTAGGCACGCCGAAGAATGCATTCCCTTGTAGATCGGCGTTAAGAGGAGCTCGAATTTTATTATAGTTTTTCTTTTTACACTAATATTTTTCAAATCATTCAAGCTTTGAGCTGAATATTAAACTAATTGTTCCTATGGCAGTTGTATGATATCTATCAACCACCTTAAGCAAAAAGATATATACCCAGTTTCATTGAGATTGTTTTTAAGGCAATTGTGGACTATGACTAAATAATTCGGGCAGACTGACAGAACATGACTCTATGGACTCACGTAGTAATACTGATCAAGAATATATATACACCATGCGATCGGAAACGTCTCCCTCAAAGCATTGTAAATTTGAAAACAAAATTAAAATACCCCCTGCAAGTGTATAGTAAAATAGTTTCAGAACAAATGTTTTATGAGCAAAACAACATTAATGAATACACTTAAAAAGTATATATATGTATATATGTAGATTCCGAATAAAGATTCCACTAGCGATGACATAATAGAAATCTTAACAAAATTATTTATAGTCCACAAGATAAACTCGATGCTCAGTTGAATATATCGGCAATTCGAGAAAATCAAAGAAAATCGATCAACTAGTTTGAAGTGATTTCGAGTGGTTTGCGAACACCCTGTACGAAAAGAAAATCCACCACTATTCTATAAATATTCTAAAAAAAACATAATCCACCACCAACAATATCTTCAAATTGGTAGCAAAGCGAAAATTGCGCCTGCGCCTTACTCGCCCTATGGGCTCATTGATTTTTCTCTGTTTGCACATTTTCCTCGGCAGTTTTGTGTGCGACGTGCAGTGTTGTGTCCAAGGTATTTGGCCATTTATCGGGAATCAAGACAAATAATGCAGTTAATTGCTGTGGGAGTATTTATAAGTCTGGTGTTCGGATGCAGCGCAGCCATAAGTGGACCGTATCTGTTTTGGGGTCACGAAAAGTTGTACGACTTGCAGCCGCAGGCATTGGTCGATGCCAGTAGCAGGGAGCCGCAGCTGACGCAACTGTTCAAGGATGTCAAGGCAATTATAATATTTGTGCGGAACGCCACCAGTCGACTGGAGGGCACCAAGTATCCAAAGTTTGAAAATCTGGTGAAGAATAGCGCCTGGTCATACTTGCCGCAGCGCAACCTGGCCGCAGAGCCCTTCACCTACAACGCCAACATTGAGGTGTGTATATATACATCATTTTTGTGTTCACCCATTTACCAACCATCAACCACCCTTACAATTATTCCCGTTAGGTCATTAACCTAACGGGTCTGAGCGAGGAGGACGACGCTGAGCTGCTGACGGGCTACAACGATGCATTGACCATCTATGGTCAGGGTCAAGTGTTGGGCATCCTAGCTAGCCGTGAGGAAGAGGTTCATTATCTGGCCAAGCGTGAGGCCAAGGACGAGGGCAAGGAGCAGAAAGCTGATCCAGGTGCAAATACAGCACAGCAAAACACCACTGAAGCGGAAGACACTTACGTCTACATAGCCGAGGGCAACAAGGCGGTCCTCGTTCTGAACGATCCACCCGAACTGCAGCTGGGCAATGAGACGCTGTTGTTGAAGGAGCAGAACACGCACACCACCTTCGATGATCAGCGCGCCAAGGGCTATGGTCGTCTAAGCATAACCTTTATGAACAACCTCGAAAAGTGCGCATTGCGCTTTAAGTTCTCGCTGGCTCGCGGCACTTGGCATCTGCGCAACGTCGAGGTGGAGTACAAGGAAAGCAAGACTGTGCTGCCGGCTAGGGGCAATGAGTATACGCTGCCATCGGCACCGATTGGCTTCTCTTATCGCTGCTCCTCGGAGAAGCTGATATTCGCCAATCCCAGCAAAAATGATACGCAAATGATTCTCCTCCTGTCCGATTATCAGGTGCAGCCCTGGTTGAATGGAAACCATAAATTCGGTGCTGTCTACGACTGCGTTGGCTTCATCTCGGTTCCCATATTGGCTGGTCTGCTCGTCTCGGCCTTTCTGCTTGCCATACTCGGACTGGGCATCACCGCCCTGATGAGCATCCATTCACCCAATCGCTTCGAGAGCTCACGCAACAAGCAGCTGACTTTCACCGTTCAGGAATAAAGAGTCATCCTGGCCTTGATCCTGAGCACGCCAAATAGACAAAAATGTTCGTCTTGATTACCTTTATGCCCGCTAATCCTCTGGCCCTGTTAACGTTGGCCATCGAGATGATTCTCATCCACTTACTCTTTGTGCTCATCATGCTCTATATCTATGTTTTATGGTATTACTAAAGTTATGCACACAGGCGCTTCAAATATTAAAAATAATAATTACACATATATATGAATAATACCTCTTGTAGCAATGTGACTATAATCAAATAGATAAACAGAGAATAGAATCAAACTCTGAAACAAACACAGATTTTGTGGGCATAGCTAAAAGAATATATACTAATATTTGTCATTTTCGTGTGTGCGAAAAATACTAAATATACCTATCGATATATCGATATATTACACGATTGCTGCTGGCGCTTGATTAAATTTCAAATGATAAATAATACGTTGTCAACAGAAAAAATTGGTTGTTCATTCCACAAAGCAGATATTCCTCAGCAACCCCCTTAACCAAAGCTTTGTCTGGTAAAAGAAAAAATTTAAAATAAATATTTAAGTAATTTGATTTTACTATCCCGATATAAATGTTTCTTTTTTTGGTGGCTGCAGCTAAAGTAAAAATAATAAAACAAAAAAATAAACAATAACTTAAATTCTATAAACTTCACCTGGAGCCAGCAAAAACATCTTAAAATTATATAAAAAAGATCACCAAATAATAAACAAGTATTATTCTTTTTAGTTTCTTAATTTATTTTATAATTCACAAAATATTTACAAGTTTTAGACATGCTGCTTCACATTTGATTTAACAATTTAATGCCAGAACCATTTAAATAGTAAATAAATTAATGATAAACACAATGTACGCTTAGTTGTAATTATCACTGTAGTCAAACAATTGCTCGGTTGTCTGCACATTGTCCTGTTGGGGTCCCGGGCCTTGGGGAGCCACAATGAGAGTGGTGGTAACGATGGCAATGACTATGATGGCCATGGTGATGAGTATATTCCGGGCCTGCCTTCCATAGGAATCCATGATGATGATGGTGGTGCTGGTGGGGGTGGTGGTGATGATGACCCCACCAGTGTGTGTCCCTGTGACAGTCGTGGCTCCTCGGCCCACACACTGGTCTTTCGTTATTGGAAAAAAACATTTTGTTGCTCTTAAATAAGTATTTTGCGTTTCACAGAGCGATAATTTAAACGATTGAACAATAGAACTCGTACTGAAGAACGAACAACCAAAACGAAGCTTATATACAAAATTGTTGTCTGATAACATTCCTCAGATTCTGATGTAATTGGCTGGCGCTTTTTGTATACACTTATGGGAACTTGAATGAATATGTGAATTTTATTAAAGAATTGAATATTTATTAATTAATTTAATTGAGTTTATATTATTGAAACAAAGTTTTTAAAAATTTAATTAATAATTATTAAATTAGAGTGTATCAAATTAGTAGGATTAATAAAATTAAAAAATAAAGATGTAAAAAATAAAATAGAATTTTCTGTGCGTATTAAAATAATAATACATATATAATGTATATATAATTATTTATATTCCTGATCAACTCGTGTAGTTTATTCATGATAGGGTATTTCGATAGCACAAATAACAAATAGATTAGTTACACAGTGACAAATTAAATAATATCAAATTGAGTGTCATTAAATTAAAAAACTGGAATGAATAAATAAATGAAAGGATATAATAATATACATAAATCCAGGGATATTTAAATATGAATATAAATAAATATAAAATATGCATTTTAATATACATATGTATATAATTCACTGCATTTCTGGCTAATTCGTAAAGTGTAATTATTTAAGGTTAAACAGCACAGATAACAAATACATTAGCTTGTTTGTGATATCTGTAAATGGTTTGCTTACTGGGTTTTCCTCTTTGTTTGGCTAAAACATACGTGACTTATTGAGAGATTGTGAAATTCGCAAATGTTCGCTAATGAAAAAGTGAAATGCGTTTGAGCTCAAACAAGAATTTCGAATCTGGCTACCAAAAATGGATGGCCAGTTGCGTTTGCCGCCGTTGTCTGGCCGTTTTTGGCTGGAAATTCTGGTTATCTGGTTATCAGTTTTCTTCGCTCTAAGCAGCAACTTACTTTCATTGGCGGCCAACTGCAATGTGTGCGCAATTAAAGCCGCATAAAACTTTTGCCCACAACTGCAACTGCCACACTCGCCGCATTTGCAACTTGCACATGCCTCACACACACATTTCGTGTTGTGTGTGCTTCTGCGGCTGGCCCCACTTTGATTTATGCATCATTAAGTCACGCCAATTGCTCGTTTGAAATGTTTTTTTTTTCTTCGATTTTTTTCGTTCGAAACCCGTCCGGTTTTTGGTATAATTTGTACGACTGACATACGACACAAGCCGCTGGCTTTGGGCCACCCGATTTTCCAATAATAAAAAAAATAATAAATAATAAAAATAATAATAATAAAAGTTGGCCGTCCCCAGCTGCGTTCGAGATGCGTTTCCAGCCAACAATCTTATTGGTTTGGCTGCAAGTGAGAAAGAATGTTTTGCCAAAAGTGGGTCGACTTCGATTGCGTTCACTTTTCCATCTTACTTTTACTGTCAACCGAACGTGCGGCCCGATTGCAGCTCAGTTCAGTGACTTAAACGAGATGAAGAGGCAAGTGGCAAGCAGCAAAAGCAAAAGTTGCACCTGATTCTGTAATAAGAATTGCTGACTGCAGCTGGACTCGATGGCTCTGCAACTGAAGGCACTCTGAAAGCCGATTGGCAACTACAGCAAAAGTTATTTGTGAAAGTTGTTGTTGCCTACCAAGGAGCTGCCAGAGCAGTGGCAACAGCAGCCACATATCAACCAGATGATGTGCTTGTCGAGTGCCGATTAGGAATAGGCTGGCAAATGCATTTTCACCATCGCTATCGAAGCATACGTCAAACGTCTCGAAATGGCATGTCTAGTTTTGGCCACGATTGCAAACTTAATTTTCCCCTTTCCCATTTTCTACCTACTCTAGCATATTATGTAAGAATTAATCTATATACATATCTGCACTGCGTGTATAATAATGCAGCATGAAATTGCATTATGATTACGCAGCATCCGACAATTTTTCAGCTCTGTGTCTACCGCGGAAGCGCATCGTGAGAGACACGCTGCAACAATTCACAACAATCACATTGACTAGATTATAATTAAAAACCAACTTTAATCAGTTCAATGGGGCATGCAACAGCGGATATGTAATTTGTATTGCCACTCGCTGATACTTATCTACATATCAGATTTGGGGGCCCTCTCTTGTCAGCTCACGAAGCACGTAAAGCCGTCGAGTCTGAGTAAATCCAAATAACAAATGCATTGGATTTGACCTACTTTGAAATACCCACATATAACAAACTTAATCTCCAATTATTAACTATTTATGACATGTGAAAATTCTTAGACATTTCTCTTTCGATTCGAATTCGTTTTTAATGATTTTCTGAATAGGCAGAGAAGAGTTCTAACATTTCAAATAAACATGGTATTAAAAGCTATATATGCAAATGTATAAATAAATATACATATACAACAACGTGAATATGTATGTCTATATACAAATATATGTATTCTGCTACTTGATCTCTATACGCTGATGCCTTCAAAATGGAAAAAAGGGTATACTCAATTTGTGCAAAGGTATGCAATAGGTAAAAGTAAGCATGTCTAACCCCATAAAGTATATACATTCTCGATCAGCATCAACTGCCGAGACAATCTAGACAGTCTGTCTGTCCGTCGATTTTAGAGACCATAAGAGGTAGAGAATTTAAATGAAATGTAATTCAATATCAAGCTTACTTTATTTTATCGATAACTAATAATTTATTAGCAGTAAGAGCCGTAATTTTTAAGACAGTTGACAATTCTTACTTGGCATGTTTAAAGTGCATTAAAATGGAACAATGGATTTTTTAGTTATTATGACTACAGAGAAAGGGTATCTAAGCGTCGAACACTGCGGAATAATTAGGTAATTTGTTTTGTTTTCATAATAATATCAATAGGTAGCTAAGATTGTTAGCACTAACTGAACAACTTGTTGATATTGTGAAATGCTTATCTCAAAGCATATGTATTTCATTCATAGATACTAGAAACGTATCATTCAGTTGATTCTATTCTTAGCCCGAATTGTTGCCAGACTACTTATTTACATAAGTGTTTGTTAAATAAATAGTTAATGTTATAACACATTTTGATCATGACAAGCACACTTACTTATAAGATCTGTGTGCCAGTTTTTGTTTTGTTTGCTCCAGCAAACATGGACTTTAGTCAAAGAAAGACGTAATGGACTTTAGTCAAAGATAGACGTAATTTTCTGGTTTACTTAAATGTAAATAAAAATTTGTTAAATATAATTGGAAAATATGATGACATTTTTGTTGAAGTCATTGTGGCAACTAATTATTATTCTTATTATTTTTATTTCACTTTGGTCAACATTTTATTGCATTACCATGGCATGTGAGAGATTTAGCGACTATTAAACATACATCGCAATTATTTATAATAATCACTTTGCTCAATATTTGTGTTAAAATTTTATGATTATTGCAAATCTTTTCCGAGAAAGAGAAATCGTCAATTGGCGATGTCCCACTGGGGGAAAATGCAACCAAATCAAACAAAACAACAACAAATGCCACGCGTAAGGCTTATAGAAATGTTGATGTCGCTGTTGATTTTGATGCCACTAACAAACTAAGTCAAATGGTTGCGTGTGTGTCCAGTTGTTGTTGTCGTTGTTGTCGCTTTGACGCGCTGGTGAAATGTGCGCAGGCGCAGCTAAAATAAATTTTTTAAAGAGGCTGCTGCTCCTACTGCAAAAAAAGCAAAAATAAACTAACAACACGCAAGTTGACAATTTTACGGGTTTAGTAAATCAAAAAGCACTAATTACCTGATTTTGTAAGCGATTTCGAAAAGCGAAGACAAGCACTTAAAATCATGAAAGAAGCATAAGACCAAAAGAAAACTAAAAATAAAATACATATTGAATTGTACATACAAAGTTTGTTGACTTGAGCGTTGTTTAACAATTTCACATAAATATTTGCACTTGTTTTAGTTTGTTTTTGTTTTTTTTTTTTTTGTTTTTGTTTTGCTTTTGCAACGAGTGAAATGCGTTGGCGAAAAAGTGAAATGCGTATTAGAAAGGAAAAGGAAGCATGCTGGGAATAACTGAGATGCTGGAAGCAACCAAGACAACCTTGACTCGATAATGTGTTTATTACTAAGTGGTGTATTGTATGCATGACCCACTGTCTCGCTGCTTCACTGATTACCAAGATGTGTGTGTGTGTGTTTATTTTATGGATATGTTGTATCTGTGGCGAAACTTAACGCCCTGTTAATCCGACTAAATATAAATGGCACGGCGGCAACCCTGGCGCAAATAAATACCAACTCCACTTCAACTCTGGCCCCCCCAAATGCATCAGTAACCTTTGTGGTTTGTTTAATTGTTTTGTTGTGCTTTCAATTGCGTACGATTAACGCGTAAATAACACGTGAAAATTTTGCAATTTTCCGGCAAGGTTGCCGCACTTGATGTAGTTTTCCAGTGTGGCAGCAGTCGAGGCTGGCAATGAGCGTTAATCAGTTGATGTAAATCTCGGCTCGCTGTTGATGGGAGTTTACCACTTACTTTTGTTTCAGCATTTTTATGCAAAACGCCTGCCATTTCACTTTAGATCCCCCGAACCTCCCCCTAAGCTCCAACGGTGATGTGTGCGCCGGGCATTTTAGGTAAAATGAAGTTGGCTGGTAAAGGCAATTAAGACTAATTGGATGGCTGTTTGTTCGACTCGGAACTGTGCAACTGGAAGTGCAGCCCCCCAAAGGCGCTACTTATGTATGTTGTTGTTGTTTTTGTTGCTGCTTTAATGAAAGGTTTCTCGCGATTGCATCATAACAAGAAAACTATCTACGTTGCAAGACGATTAGCTCAAAAGTGCCGTGTTCGTTTTGTTTTTTTTTTTTCTTGAATTTGCAACGCTGCCTGCTTATTCAATTAATAAATGATATGCACTCATAATTTCTTATGATTTTGGTCAACTTCAGTAACTGTTCACACTAACACAAATACCAATGAGTAAAATACTGCGGCTTTGTCTGCCTTACCCCACTATAGCCCCATGCCCACATCCATCCTCACATCTCATCGCATTTAAGCTGAGCATCGGCAAATGGCAAAATCAACCAGCTGCAAATCGCTTGCAGTTTGTTCGCCAATCACAAATGGGGAAAAAGCGAGGAAATAAATAATTATACTCTTGATATACCCTGTGGCTAGCTGTGTGTATTGAATTACTGCAAATAAAGTGGTCAATTTTAAAATTAATGAAAATATAAACGGCGAGTTTAATAATAATTTTGTGTTTCCACTTTAATTATTTTTGACAAATTTTGAGAGTATATAAATGCGAGAAAATGGAATATTATTCGAAATGCCAAAATTGCTTAGTCTTGCACAGTCTTGATCAATCTCTTGTTAAATAAACATAATGGCAAAATCAGACAATCAATAACTTTTACAATAACAACTCAATAATTATAACTCAATAACAATTTAAAATATTTCAACTTGCAAAGCATTTTGGTAAACTTGATAGTCATTGAAAAAAGTAATACAATTATTTTGAGCTTTTCTTTGAAGCCTGGGTTATTTTCTTAATCTGCGAGGAAAAACTCATAATTTATTAACATTTTCAATATTTTCAACAGCAGTTCTAAGATTATAATTGTATTTTGTATACTCTTTATATTTTATATATGCATATTTTTATGTATATTAATAATTAATAACAGAAAAATGTGTAATATATATTTACCCTTATTTCACTTATAAATTTTGATTTACTCACTATGAACAATGAATTAGTTTCTTTCTTCAAAAAATAATGAAATATCAATGAAATTTAAAAAATATACTCGCTTTAAGTCTTATACGGTATAAAAACAAACAAACAACAGCTATTAGTGGTCAATTCAAAAAGTCCGAAAGACGCGGCGACATCTGCGCGATGCCTGCGTCCAAATAAACAGACAGCAACAGCAACAGCAACATCAACAACAATAATAAACTGCGCGGCTGCGCAGTCGTCTTAGCACCTCTCTCTCTCTCTCTCTCGCTGTATCGGCCAGTTGGCTTGCACATTACCTGTTGGCACTTTTTCGGTCATGACATTCGTTCAGTCTGCATTTGACTTTCGGTTCGTTCGGTTGGGTTCGCTGTGCAATCTGCTGTCATTCGTTCGTTCGTTCGTTCGTTCATTCGTATTGCGCCTGCGCAAATCGTTAAGTGAAAGATTCGTTTGCAGCGCTGACAGTTGTGGTTGCTCTTAAAGAGCGCGGGTGCATTGTGAACTGTAAATCGAGCGCGCGCCTTGCGGCCGTGACAAGAATTTTGCTTTGGCGTTTGCCACAAATGCTCGAAAAGTTAATGAAGTGCAAAAATGTTTGTTGTTGTTGGTGTCATCAAATTGCTGCTGTTGTTGCAGTTGGCCTAAACACGCTGCAGCAGGCGTAGCGAACACTTTGATTTGCGGTTGTAGTTGCCGTTGTTGTCGTTGTTGCCGCCTGACCCTGGCCTCTGCGGCTGTCAAGTGAAAACTGTGAGCGAAATCACCAAGTCGACTGGCTGTGAAAATCGCTAACGGATTAAGTCGCTTACCCAGAACGAGGATTGCAGCAAAATGTAAGTGTTGTGAAACCAAAAAAAAAAAAATTAATAAAAAAATAAAAAATACCACATTTCTAAAATTCCAAAATGTGCGCAAAATTTCACTTTAATCTGGTTGGGCTCGGCCAGCCAATTGACTTCGGGTTGTGTTAATCTATGCGGCTCTTGAAATAGTTTCCCATGGACACTACTCGATTAGTTTACTCGAGGGTGTGCCCAATTAGCAGTTGAGGCCATAAAAACTAAGATGAAGAAAAAGGCATCCCAAGACTTGCTAGCTGTCCATTCTAATTGAATGAAATTAACCCACTTTTGGACGTTGTAAAAAGTTTGTATGAAAATTGTAGAGGTCTTTGTCTCATTTTCATAATAATTGCCTTTTGGGTCAAAAAGAGGAAGAACTGAATATGCATAAATCTGAAGTTGAAGTTGAAGCACACAGAAACACGCCATCTGCCAAATTTTAATGAGCTGTAACCCAGTCTGGCTCTGTAAATAGGTAGAACATTGCCTCCAGCCATGTCTGCCTCTATCTTATTATCTTTCTGGCTGTCTAACCTAATGTTTGTGTGTAACACCTCCAGCTAGAAACAATAACAACATAAACAGTTGCTGTCTTTGTGTAAAGAAATCAATCACATACAAATTAGTTAAATACTCGACTGCCTAACAACGCATTAGAATTGAGCACATTCTTTTATGGCTTAGTTCGCCAGACCCGGCCGGCTTTTGTTACCAAATTTGGAGCGCGGCATTTGTTAACACCAATTTCCTTTGCTATGCTAAAATTATGTATTATTATTACAACAATAAATCTGCGTTAGTTTCGTATTGTCTCCGATCACTTTTGGGGTCAAGTTGATGTTAGAGTTGATTCGGAATTCACGCTGATTTACAACTTAGCGGTTGTACACCTTATTCAATTTGTTTTTTTTTTTTTTTAATAATTCTACTAACTTTCAATAGCGAATAAAGCACAATAAAAAATAAAAAACAAATAATAATATTAAATTATGTTTATTTATAATCAGCATTCGTCTTTTTACATTTGACCCTCTAACTGTCTGTTACCAAATGCAAATTAGTCTGTCAGTTTTGAAAGCTATCTTGATTTTACTTACCACAGATCAGTTAGGCTTCGGACTGTGCACATGTTGAAGTCGAATAAATTGGTAAACCACATCATAGAGTTAATCATAAAATTAATATAAAATATTTACTGCTTTAAAATAAAGCCTGGCTTTTGAAGATATGCTATAGGAAGCTTTATTTTATTCAAAAATATCTTTAATTGATAAATTATTTATTTGAAATGATTTATTTGACAGTAGCAGTGGCTTAATTTAATTCTTAAATTTTGAAATATAAAAAGTCTATTTTTTAAATATAGAAAATCATTTATACGAAATTATCTCCACAGTCGCAAGCTTCTCTTGTTTCTTAAGTATTAAAATAAGTTATTTATTAGAAATTATTATCATCCCATTGAATCAATAAGCCGGTATATAATTATGGTTAGGTCTAAAAAATGTGTTATTCGATACTTTTTAGCAGTGTAATAATAATATTGGCACTATCTAACTATGTGGAAAACATAGTTAAATTACCATCAACATTTCGTGGCTGGGTTTTTGTATGTTTGTACTAGTTAATCGACAACACCCCGAGGAGAGCTGCTTCTTTTATTCTGTTTTCTGTTTTCTTTTTCTATTTTTCTCTTTTTTTTTGGGCCCCCTTCTAATTGCAGCAGGTGTTGTGGTGCGCAGCTCACAGCTTCTAGCTATCCATCACATATTGTGAGATTTTAATAGCCAGCGCATGTCAGTTTCAATTGGCGCTTGAAGCTTCACTTTTGGGTTTGGCTTCAAGCTCAACTTCAGCTCGTTATCGTCGTCATTTCGAATTGGAGAAGCCAACAAAAGTCGCTCGATTGCATGCAAGCGAAGCAATTAGAAGTTTGTTGGCCTGCGAAAAACTATCATAGAAAGTCAACAACAACAGAAGCAGCAGCAACAACAATAATAATACAAAAATTAAGAAAAAAGCCACATAACAAATTGTTGTAATAATACTCGTAAAAAAAAGAGTTATGCTTGTGTTTAGCTTGAACAACAAATCATTTCACATTTCCACACAGGTTCTGGCCTGTCTGTCGCTGCTGCTGGTCTTACTCGGGTTCATTAAACCGTCGCCAGCTCAGTTAGATAGCAAACATGGACCGCAGAGTTCTGCCAGCTTGCTTGGCTTCCGTTCTCAGCTTTTGGCTATGACACCAGAAACTGCATGTGAGTAAGCCTGGCTTACATAACACACTCCCCAAGCCAGCCGAGCGAAGCGAGTCGCAATCTCAGGTGTCATAGTTTTAGCCTTTTTGTGGCTTTTCTTTCGCATCTTTCAATTTGTCACCCATTGTGGCATAATTGTATTGTAATCACGTCGCCCTTTTCTTTGAAGCCCAACTCAATCTTGGCCGTTGGCCGTTGGCTGTTGGCTGTGCGTGTCTAACTGAAAATCTGTTTGCTTTATGCCAGATCATGTTGACCCAAGCCATGTTTGTCGTTCTGGTCGCGAGGAAGTCATCTACATGAGCTAAGCAAAATCACACACGACTTCTATCTATATCTGCAAGATTTGTCGCACAACATGTTTGCGGTTAAAGCAAAAGAGTGAGCGCCAACAAATCCTGCATAGCGTTTTGGCCACACGTTGCAAGCCACATTGCTTTGCTTGTTTCCCACATTATGCGATCTGCAGCTGCCTGAAAAAAATAATTAAAAAACAATGCTCAACAACTTTTTTTTTTTTTAATAATATGGTCGCTCAGATTTTGAGTAGATCTTAACTAGCCCATAAAATTATGTTCTCACAGTAACACACCTTATTTGGATAACGGCGAAATGCGGCTATTGCCAAAGCGCATTTAGAACGAAACCAAACAATAATAACAAAAACAAAAACATTAACAGCTAAAAACAAGTGCCCCAACACGGAAAGGCGGGCTTCAATTAAGGCGTCTACCTGGCCGTCAAGCCGGTCAGCAATATGGCTTAAGTAATGCACGAGCTCTGAACTCTTTTGGGTGGGTCATTTCCACTTTACCACATTTAGCGCGCTTGGCTGCTTTTTATACATACATACGTATATACTTGTCGTCCCTCACAGCCACAACAACAGTTGTTACCAAACATAAAATGCTTAATTCTTGGGAACACAAACATATTTTCAAAGCGGGGAGACCACCACTTGAGAGATTTTGGTTCAGCTTCAGCGCATCGAATTCCATGAAAATATGCTTGTTGCATTTACAGTCCAACTAACAGGTGGAGAATGTGGAAAAAATGTTTAGAAAAAGATTTAACAAGAACTTGTTTACTGAGAGACTTTCTTTTACAACAAACAATTGTGTTTAATCGGATTCATTGTTGTAAGGAAAGTCAATATGCTCATGTTTTATTTGCTTATGTGCAAATAATATTGATGCCATCCAGCTTAGATTATTTATATTCAAATAATTTGTAATTTATTTTTATTGTAGTTTATTCTCAATATTTGTTAATTTATAGTCATAGTCATAAATAAACAAAGGCTGTTTCGCTTATTTATTTTAAATAATTTTATAAATGCTTTTATATTAACTTTTGATTTGTATTTGCTTAGGTACAAATAATGATAAAGTCGTAATTAAAAAAAATCAGTTTTGTTTAAATAAGCAACTTTTTTGCAGTTAATGTTATTGTGATGGTAATAATTTATTATTAGTTCTTTCTCAACCCACATAAAACTAATGTGTTCTTAATATGGTCTCATAAACAGAAATGTAGAATTAAATTTAGACCTTTTTCATTAGTAGATTTATTTCCATAACCAATAAATTATCTACAATCTAGACCATGGGCAGCAATAATGGTTTGTTGATGAAGACAATCTGCTTTTAAATAACTAATAAATATTAAGATCGCATATGGAAGAATCATCTAAAATTAAACATAACTGGGTCGTTTCCAAATAAAAAAAATCTAATATAATCAAAAATTTAACATATTTCCTTTTTTGAATATTTTTTAAAATGGCAAACAGAAACAAATTGTCCCGTTAACAAATGGATTTAATTTTTTTATTTTAATAATTATATAATATATTAAAGTGCGTTTGAAGCTGTGACGAAAAAAAAGCTCAAGAAAATCAGGCACAGATCAATTTTGTAATGCCAGCAATATTTTTTAATTTTTGTTGGCTCAAAGCCATTTATCATTTTAATATTTTTATATTTTGTGGAGCAGATTAGGACAAAAAAAAAATGTTCATATATGTATTCATAACATTGTTTTATATGTTTAAATTAATATTTACTTGTATCCTTTACAATCAGAGATAATTCCCTCAAAACATACTATTTCATTCATTTATTTATTTTATTTATTTAACCTTTATAAAGCTGATTGTTCACAAGTAACTATCACAATATCAGTAAATATACAAATAAAATATACAGTTTTTAATATTTTAAATATTTTCAATGAATTTATCTGTAATTATTTATTACAAGTTGTTAGCTTAAGGTTAAAAAGCTAACTAGCTATTGAATAGGTTAAGTGCATTATTAATGAAAAGTCATTGAAAATTGTTAACAAATTTATCTACAAAGGAAAGTTTGTCTACTCCTTTGGTGGCTTTTTAATGTTGCATTGTTTGTTTTGGTAGTTGTCATTTCTGCAAGGGAAAAACTCCCACAACCTTACCGTTGTTGCTGTTGCTGTTGCAGACAGATATCATAGTATGTAAGTAGATATATCTAGGCATACTTCCTGAACAATTGCACACACACAAACCCTCGTTAGTTCGTGTGTGATTAGGCGCGTGAGGTTTAAAGTTATGATAAATTATGTGGCCCATCACGTGGTGAAAGTGTTGCCAATTGTGTTTGTTGCCTAAGCGAATTCTTACCCAGACAGATTTCCTACAAATATGAGCAATGTGTTTTATAGCATGTTTTTGTATGTTTTTTTGCTTTGCAGCCGCAGCAACTACGCACAGCAAATACAATATCATCTGACAGATTGTCGCCCACGCATCGCCATCGTCGTCGCCATGGAGCCAAAGTTGTTGTAAGCGCCCCCAGATTCGACGCAGTTGCTCTCTCATCGCATAAGCATTCAGCATTCAGCATTCCACATCAGCATTTGTATTAAAGCCGCATTCGACCATATTCCATATTAACCCATTAGTTGCCACATTGTTCAAGTCTAATTAGACTCGGCCTCCCCGACAGAAAACAATTGCTGCTCAAGAATCACCAGGAGGCCATACATCAGTCGCAGTCACACTTCGATTGCCATTCCATGGCAGATAGTCGGGAACGCATCCGTGGACCGTCGCGGGATGGACGCGAATTTCTGACCAGTCCACGTCAGGTGCTGCGCCGGCTCATGCTGCTCTCGGAGGGGCGACAGTATCGCGAGGCGGCGGGCGTGGTTGGTCGTCTGGGCCCATCGGTGCTGCACTCGGTGATTGCGGAGCTGCCCATTGATCTGCTGCTGGAGCATCTGCCACACAGCGCCTATCTGCTCGAGTCCTTCTACACAAGGTAAGCTAAATGGATTGATTGATTGCTTGATATTAATCTCGCTCTTGCAGGCTGACCACATTGAATAGCACACCCAAGCCGGATGTGCCCAGTGAGACGGTTGTCTGGCAGCTGGTGCGTCTCTTCGCCAATCCCCATGAGAGTGGATTGAGGCAGCGCTGTTCCAAGCTGACGCAGGCCCTGGCACAGTATGAGCCGGGTCTGCGTCAAAGTCTGCGGGAGCGGAGACGCAGCTTTGACAATGCTGTGCAGGGATTGGGTGTCCATGGACTGACCACAGATGCAGGCGCAGCGGGTCAGTTAATATCACTGCATGTGGCATTGAAGACTGAGCTGCAGCGACACGTCGATACCTATAAGATGGCCATACACAAGCTGGAGGAGCTGAGCATGGTGACGGTCAATCAGGATCCGGCACACTCCTCGCACCAGCGTCTCTTGGCCATCAACTATGGCGATATACAGCAGCGACTGATCGACAACAAGACACTGCTTACGATGCTGGATAAGCCGGCGCTGAAGCAACTGCACACCCTGGTCGAGAACCTGAGCACACGTGTGGAGAACGACAAGGATGTGCTCTCCTGTGTGGGCCAGGTTAAGCGAGTGGATGCCCAGGCACACATTGAGAAGCGTCCCGCTGCCGGTCTGCTCATGAATTTCTCACGCGGCTGCGAGGTCGTGCTCCACATGATGGGGCCCGAGAGTGTGCCCCCCAGCCCTGTGGCAGCTGTCAAAGTGAATGCCACGGGCAGCGCCGGCGGCAGCAGCTGCAGCGATGGCTATCATTCTGATGATTCCACCAGCGAGGATGGCAGGTAAGCAGCAGACTTAAGATCATCTAAGATTCGTTTTCTCTTTTCTCGAATCGATTCTGGCACTTGACATAATTCGTTTGTGCCACTGTCACCCACACACTCATGACTTATACTCTCCCTCTCTCTCACTCGATTGCCTACGCAACCACAGCGAAATGGTGTCACACTATCGAAATCTCTACATCGAGAACCGAGCGGACGCCCTGGAGGCGTTGGACAGCATGCCACAGCTGAAGCATGTGCACAGCTTAAAGGCCAAGATACTCTTCTCCATGATTGTGGTAAGTCTGCATGCGAACATGTTTCCAATCTATCCAACAAAATTATGGACAATGCTTGTGTACTTTTATACACTCCAAAAAAAAATCGACTTGAGTTTTAGAAATAGCTTTAATTAAATTTAAAAAAAAAAAAGAGTCCACTAAAATCATATTTAAATAAATTTTTAGCACCTCAAATTCAAATTTTGTGCACACAGTAAAAATGCATTACATATCAAAAATAATAATATAATATAATATTGAATAGATAAACTCTTTTCAACCAATCATTTACTTTTAATTCTCTCTCAACCCACAAAAAATGAATGTGCTCTTAATAAGGTCTCATAATCAGAAATTTAAATTAAAATTAAATTGAGCGCTTTTTTATTAGAAGATATGTTTACATAAAAAATAAATATCTGGAATCTAGATCGTCTATGGGCAACAAAAACAAAAAAAAATATTAAGATCGCATATGGAAGAATCGTCTCAAATAAAACCCAAATGGATCGATAACCAATGGGAAAGCTTAATTTATTAAAATCTTTGCATATCAAATTAAATAAACGTTCTCGAATTCGATATGGTCATAATTATGAATATTTTCATAAATGGTAAAATACCTAAAGCTATAAATCTATTTATTGCTTGAATATTGTTTTTATTCATAATAATTCGTTTAATAATTTCTATAAAAAGTTGACTTTTTAAAATGTTGCTTTTATTAGAGGCAAGGCCAAATTATTTTGCGGCGTATAATTATTTCAAAGACTTGACTTCAAATTAAATTGAAAAGTGAGCGAAGCGAACTTTAAATATATATTAATTATGACGTTAAGCGAGCATCTCAGATTGCAGATACAGATGCTTGGATTGAGATACAGAAAAGCTGGCAAATTGTTATTGCAAAATATCAATTTGCAACGCATCGATTTGCTAGTGTCGTGGCGACTGATCGAGTTTGGGGCATTGATTAAATGTTAAGAAGAAGAAAGTGGCATGCCCCAGGGTGACTGCTGCTGAGAAATGACGTTGTTGATCGGGTGATGCTGGTTTTGTGCGTCTGCTATCTAAACTTGTGGATAAATAACTTTCGATCTTCAGCGATGAATAGAGAGACAAGTGGCTTGCTCGCTTCATGGGAAAGATGAATGACACCGACAATTGGCCGGATCAGCTGGCCAGCGCATTGGGTTTGGGTTTGGGTTGGTTTGGTCTGGTCTGGTTTGTGTTTTGACCGTGGGCTGTTATTGAACCATTGATAATGATTGGCATATTTTAGACCTTCTTTTTCTCGTTTCACCACTCTTCTTTTCTTTCTGTACAGCTTTCTTTTCGGCTGTGCCACGGCATGCGGGAGCGCAAGGTGCTGGAGGTGCGCCGGGTGCTCAACTGTCCGCTGGACAGCAGCAGCGAGACGACCCTCGCCTTGGACCGATCAGTGCGACATCATCTGCACGAGACGACCGACAGCTTTCCGCTTGGTGAGATCGAGCGATCTGTATTCAATCAGGTGCTCTCCACACTGCACGAGTATCCCTGCCTTGAATCCTGTCCCCCACTAACGCACTTCGTCAGCGCCTGTGTGCGATTGGCTTGGCGCATGATCAATCAAAAGGCGCCCTACTATCTGGACACTGATTTCAATCTAGGTGAGCACAACCCATAAATATTTACTTCAAATAACTTTGTAAAAGCTGAAATTAACATTATGGGACATTTATTTAATGGTTTTATCTGTTTTTTGATTTAGAGTCTTTTCTCGTTGCTTTGACCAATAATATTGAAATTTTAATAAATTTAACTATTTTTTATTTAAAATTAAATATTATTAAATAGAGTGTTATATAAATACTAATTGATATATCAATAAATATCAATTTCAAATTATTTTCTTAAAAGTTCCATTCATATTTAATTCGAAAATTCAAAATCTTATATTTTATTTGCCTAATCACTATTAACCGTAGGGTGTATAAATTTAAATACATTGTTAGATATTTTTGTCAATATATACTGCATGCATTTAAACTTTTTTTATTTGTCATTATTCCGTAGGTTTCCTTCGTCCAGAGAAGCACGAACGCCATCCACAATCGGATCGCCGCTCGGACCTCATCAAGGCGTTCTTGTGGCCCGCTCTGATGCAGAACAATCAGTGTGTCTTCAAGGCCATTGTGGCAACTTAGAAACACACACATACACACATACACATACACAAACATACTTAACTTACGCCTTATATACTAAGTTACGCAATTTGTACATAATTTATCTAAATATCTGGTAAACCAATTAAACGATAACCTAAACTAGGCACAGCTGATTGGCTTCAGGAGTACACTCTGGCTGCGCTCTTTGTTTGTGCAGAGCAGCGGATGCTCCTCATAAAACTCAATAATGGCATAGGGCGTGGGGAAGACACGCTCTTGCGGCTTCATTTGTCCAATGGCATAGCGCTGTCTTCCATCGATTTGACGCACGAACAGATGATAGAACTGCCGATCCGCACAGATGCTCACGATGTACTTGATGCAAACATCCGTCGCCTTGAAGGGTCGCACCAAACAGGCGCCATTCTCCCGCTCCGAGAGCATGTGTTCCGCCATAGCGCGATCCACGGTGAAATAATATGGTTCCGTTTCGATATGGCGCTGATCAATCTCCTCATAGTTGGCATCACCATCGTCTATCGACAATTGTTGTTATTTGTTTTGTTATCAGAAAAGAGCACGTTTCAGAACTCACCCTCAATGATGTAATCGTGTCGAGCTGCTCTCTGCTGATCGTCGTCACCGATTGATTCCAAAACCCGTTTGCCAGCATCGCTGTCAACATCAGCGTCGACGTCACCGTCGCTGGCCTGGCGCCTATAGCCGAAACAGCAGCCGCCGCAGCACCAGCAGCAGCGCTCTCGATAGCTACTCAAGCAGGCAAAATTGCTCTCCGTCAGGCTGTTGTAGAAACGGGCAAATAGATTTTGCAAAACCGTCCAATAGACACGTGCGCACCAACACATGGCGACACTCTCCTCCCTCTCTCTCTCTCTCTCTCTCTCTGCCTTTGACTGCACAATCGAAGCTTAGCCTTCGTTGTTCCTTGGGTGGTTCTCGGCTGGTTCTAATCCGCTTCCGTTGCGCCACATCTTTCTCCAACGCGGGACTCCGAAGACTGAAAGCCAACACAGACAGACTGACTGCCTCTGCGCAGAGCTGTCGGCGCGTCTGCACTGTCTGACAGATTAATTAAAATGTGTTTAATGCGCATATAATTTGTCGTACACATTTCTGTCTGTGTGTGAGAGCCTCTCTGTATGAGTGTATAAAATGTCCATATGTAAATATCATATAGATATCATATATTTGAAGAGCGATATTTATATGCCCTGTGCACAAAAAGTGACTCTGTAGGGCGTCTTGGTGCAAATGAAAAAGGATGCTATAAAATAAATATACATAATCGAATCCCAGGCTAATATATTTCTATGGTAATGTCTTATATATATATATATATATATATATATATATATATATATTATTTTTATTATAGTAAAAACTTGTTTCAGAGTGACTATCGTATCGAATATATCAGGTTTAATAAATTTTCACTAATGTGTGCTAAACCCCATCAATTTTATTGCTAAAATTCAATTATTGTGGGTCATTGTGATCTAAGGCCGATATCTACTGCCCGTAATTGATAGCAACAAACGTTAAGGTTTCACTTTTTACAGGGTATCTGCAAGCCAATAACGCCCAGCATAGCATTCTCACTTGTTCTGTATGGGGAAGCATTGCAGTTATGTTTGTTTGTTTTGGTTGCTATTTTTCTGGCTCTTGCCGAAGGTAATATGATATCATAATTGTCACAGTCTTTGGCAGCGCAGCCAAGTGCAGATCATGTCACAAAGTTTAACGTTCCCACCAGCTGCAATAATCATACTTTGTAAGAGAAATGTGTTCCCTCATGCAAGTGCCTTAACCGCAGCAGCCACACCCATCCCACCCCGCAACAGTAGCTAGTTGCTCATCGTCTCAAAACCATTCATTGAATGTAGTGCCCCTCTAGAATAACGCAATATCAAGGGATCCCATTACACTGGGATTAAGATTCACATATAGACATTTATAGACACCCAACAGCGCAGACATGCTGGAGTCAAGCGGTTGCCATGTGTCGCAGATGGGCGTAATTGTGAGTAAGGTCAAAATTATTTGACATTGAATATGCAGCTGATCTTGTGAAAATGGAAAACAAAACGATTCAGAAAATCAATATCCTCTACAAATAGCTGCAAATAAAACTGTGCAGAGTCAACTTGAGCTGATAATGGATAGGCAAAAGACTACAAATTGTTGCTCATACCTAAAATTAACTTATACCATTGCTTAGTATAAGAGTATATCACTCTCACACAAACCTTTAAGTCGATCATCTGTGGTTTTAGTCTTATACAAACATGTACTACAATTTTTTATAAGCTAAGTTAAAAAGCAGCTGCAGAAAGTATTAGACTTAACGAAAAACACACTAAAGCGCCCATAGTTTGGATAGCATACAAATGGAATGCAAACTTAACGAAGGAGCACATTTGACATATTATTTATTTACTCCACAGGCAAATAAGATAATATTCTTTTAATATATGCTCTCTGTTCTTACTTGAAATCTTAATTCAAATAGCATTTGTATACAAATCTATTACATTTAATATTAATAAATAAATATATTCTCACCATATCTGTATTCTTATTGGTTTGTACTTACTTATCAGATATTATAAGAGTGATAATAGCAGACTACTTAGTGGCACACACAGCAACTTTTAGCCCAGATATGAACCTCGAACGAAACTTTCATAAGGTCTGCTAAAAGCTTAGCAAATGTGACTGCCGCGAAATCAACAAGAATTTAAAAAATGCTGTGAGCTGATTGTGCTGCCAATTTGAATGTTCAATTGTGACCAATAGACGCGTGCAAATGGTTGCCATTTTGGGGGGCATACAAGCCGTTAAGGTGACAATAAATTTGAATAGGGCAAACTTATTGCATGTATACGAGTATAAGCATAAGTATAAGTATAAGCTTTGCGTATGTATAAGTCGAGTGACAATTTCAAAGAGAGCATCGCATTGAAACTCTGCAGGCCTGTCACGTGCGCCAAATGCCAATAAAATGATATTTCTATATATCAAGCATTAATAACAATGCGAAATAATACGATCGCAGGCAGAATATAGCGCTGTCAATTAATATGCGGCAAACAATTTTGATTGAACTGCTAACTAGCTGGGGCCAGCACAGTCGACGTCGTCGTCGTCGCTAGCAGCGCCTATAAAACAACAAAATCGCACAAATTTATTTTGGCCATATGCAGCGGCGTTCAATTGAGTTATGAGCAGTTAGCCCAGGGTCTGCCCAGCGCCCAGGGCAATGTCAGTCAAGGTGGCGCCGCAGTTCAACTCGATCGATGGAAAAGGGGTTGGCCCATTAATATCAATGAGTATCAGCGTCGTTTATCAATGCTGATGATTGAAATTGCCGACAATTCAATCGGCCAAACTCATTTATTTATTTATATTATATACGCCAGCGATGTCAAAGAACTGTAACGAGATATGCGCAATTCATATCTCAATTATGCGACAGAAATGTGTTTGTGTGTGGAAGTCCATCAAAAATGTAATAGTGATTTACAGCAAGTAGCAAACAAAATAAGCAAGCCGCCAATGCGGCGTATGCTTTATATCGGCACGCGGTCATTTTATGTGCCACTAAAAAGGCGAGCACAATATAAAAAAATAAAAAGACATTCGCAGAGATTTGTTCCTGCTTGTGGCAACAGTTCGTTTTCTGAGCAGCCATAGGAATCGACTCTCAAAACTCACCACAAACACATATGCAGAGTCACATACACAACACATACAATGCAATACTCAACATGCGAAATCATGAATAGGGGTATCTGCTACTGGGGTTCGGGGTGTGCGGGACGTGGGTCATGGGGGCGCTTCTCGCCTGCCGAATCCAGTCGAATCCGCGTCGGCTCGAACCGAGAAGCCGCTGCGCAACAGTCGCAACAGTCGCAACAGCAACCGCAGTCGCTATCGCATTTGTATTTGTGTTTGCATTTGTATTTGCTATCCGGTGGAGGCGTCGTATCCCAGCAAAGTGTTTGCGCATTTTGCCATCGAGCGTTGGGCAGCGCGGATGAATTTCGCAGCAGGCGCGAGTGTGTTAACCAAAACAAAAAATAAATACAAAAAAAATACAAAATTCAAAAGAATACATTGGTTTAAATCAAACAGCGGGCCGCCTCATAAAACCCAATAAATTCAAATTCAAAATCCACATGCGAATATTAATACGAAGTTCACAAATATTTGTCAATGAAACGCTTCGCCCAAAGTTTTCCATCACAGCTTTAGACGCGCTCTAAGCGTCAATAAGTGTCAATTAAATTAGCGCGCCAATATCGAGAGGGATTTTAAATTCAGTCGGTCGCAACAGGTGCCCCTCTGAGGTGTGTCTCCCAGTGCCACTCACCAATCGAAAATTCGCACTAATTGGGCATTAAAGTGAAATTGAAGCACAGTCGAAAACAACAGATAACAAATTATATTGCCTATCTGGCTGCTGGTGTATTGATTGAGTGCATAAATTTGGTCAACAGTGTTGTGTGTTATAATTGTGTGCAGGAAACTCCTTTGGACAACTTTACAAACTTTAATACGAATTTGGTAAATTGTTTTTCATTTTTTACTACATTTGCGTGTGTTTCATTTATGAGTATTCTAATTGTTGTTGTTTTTTTTTTTTTTCAAGTAATGTTCAAGGTCCTTAAATCAGTTTTAACTCGATGTCACCAGTTGAGTTAAGATAAACTTTTGCTTTAGATAAAAAAAAAGTTAATACTTAATTCAATTCGAAGCGTATGCTTAGAAAAGATTTAGATGTGTATACAGAAAATGCTCACAAACGTAATAAATGCCGAATTAGACTTAAATAATTGGCTTAGCTCCAAGACATTAGTTGGCCAACACAGGAACAAAAACAAAACAACAACAAAAAAAAACCGATAAATTTAATGATTCTGAATTTTAGTATGCTAAACAGGGGTGTTAATATTTGAGTACTTGGAACATATGCGTTGCCCAAAAGCAGTGAGAAAATCAATAAAACTCGGACATGTTGGCCATTGTGGGCAGTCATACAAAGTATATTTTATGCTCAATGTATTTGTAATATAAATATTTATATGCTACTCATCTTTCTCTGACCTGTTGCATGGTGTGCTTGTGTGTTGCGGTTTGCCGCTGCCTGCCCCTTTGTTAGTTTATTTTTGATAAATTAATTATGTTGCTTACTAATTGCTGCTTCCGTCCGCACCAGTGGACTCACTCGACTCGTGCGTTGTTTTTAGCATTGAATGAACTTCAAATAAGCTGAAAATTAAATTGCAATTGCCAAATTGGAATACACCTGTTGCCACCAATCCAAGGCCAAGCGCAAAGAACTCTGCAAAACGTTCCGTTGCTCATACGCCACGTGTGCAGCAGCTGCAGCAGAATAAAGGAAATTGAGATCGGGCAGAGGGCATGGAAAATTGTCGACCGCTGCTCATAAATTATTGCAAACATTTCGCATTTCTCAAAACAAATCGAGCATTGCAAAAATGCCAGGGCACTTCTCATCTTGAAGACGGGAGGCATTCAGTTATATCTATCCATATATCTGCGTGTAGCCAACAGATGCACTCGCTGCCCCCAAACCGCAATTCACATGAATTCTGCTTCTTCTTTCTTTTGCATTGCTCACTGTGGTCGCATGGGTGGTGTGGGGTGAGGTGGGTGGTGGTGGTTAGTGGGTGGCGGGTGGCAGGGGGTTTGACAGTTGCAATCGCCTTTTGTTGATTGCGCCTTTGTGTATAAATTAATTAAATTAAAAGTTTCCGGTTAAGCCTCCAAATGCGGAACGCAAGTCGCCCATTCAGACATAACTGCACTTGCACACACACACACACACATACACACACACACACTTGCACACATATTACATGTGTCTGTATAAGTAAAGTAAAGTAGTCAAGTTACTTTGCAGCTACAATCGTAACTACAGTTTCACAGTGCTCTAAAGGGTAAAGAACTTTTCGAAAAGTTTCTACATCGATTTAAATGAATGGGTTCCAAGTATTTTATACTTAAAAATACCTCAAATAAACCACTATTAAAATATAAGTATATTTTCTCTTTGCTCGCAACTAAATTTTTATTAGTTTTCCACAGAATTTATCGAATAAGTATGCTATGTATGTAGTATTAATTTGTTGCTGACTCCCCAATTATATATTACATATTTACATGTATAATATATAAATTCATATTTACATATTTATATCTGCAGCTTTTTGTGTGGTCTTTCAAAGCTTCAAAGCACATATTTGAAATGAGACTAACTCTTCCAGTTGATAAAAGAATTGCGTATGACATTCAACTGGCATGGCAACGGGCTCAATCGTTTTATGCGTTTTATTTTGGCATATGCCACCCTTTTCATAATTTAAGTACCTTTCAAATGCCAAAAGACATTTAATGTTCGTTTGATTTTGTCAGAGCAACGTGTGCAACGGTGCGAATGCGCAACGTATTCCAAGAGCCAAAGAAACACACAGTCTCTGTGTAGCTGTCCGATGCATAAATATAAGCATGAGCACGTCCTGCTTACTCATATATATATAATATTATATATACAAATTTATTTACTTGTTTTTTATATTAATATATACACATATTTTCGGATACTTTGACGTTGTTAACCTTACCCAAACACCTTACAATAACCATTATTATAGTTATTCAAAAAACATATATTTCGTAAGCCGATTGCCAAATGTGAAAAAGAGATTTGCATTCGTGATTTTGTTTGTACTTTTGCCAAAAACCCAAAACAAACTGGCAACTAGAGAAATGGACAAATCTGATTTGAATGCGATTATTTGAATTAAATGTAAGTCACGAATGCGTAAACAGAGGCCGGATTTTAGCATGTTCGCCATTGGCAAACATATGGAAATCGTAAAACCAAAAACACAAAATCAAAAACTGAAGTTTTGGCCACTCCAATTAGCACTCAATTAGAAAACAAACACGATGCTAATTACAACCGCAAATTGGCACGCGGCAATAAATCATCGAGTACCTGAAATTGTCGCAGATTTATCTGCTTCAAACTGACCACGCCTACCAAACACACAAGCACAAATCAGCTTACTCTTCTACCTCTTCTTCCTTGCTCTGTCTGCATGCAATTAATGTGCAGTTGACCTTCACGTTAACTAAAGACCCTGTGTCAATATTATGACAGGCAGCTCACTCGACCCCAAGGGAAAGTGGAGAGAGGTGCAGGTCAGAACATGATGTTCAAATATGATGGATATGCTAGCGACGCGTCCCAAATCCCCATGGATCATATTTTACTGCCTCACTCTCTCTCTCTCTCTCTCTCTCTCTCTCTCTCTCTCTCTGTCTATCTCTTTCTGTATATCTGTCTCTTGTTTGCCTGGGCGTTGTCGACCTAATGTTGACATCACTGCTGCCTTTTAATGGCACCCTTTATGGTCAGTTTAACACACGAGTAAAATGTTAAAACTGACCAGTACAAACGAGTGCAAAAAACATAAACACAGCACTGTGACCTTTGCACTGCTCTTAAGCAGAAAAAAATCACGTGGGCAACGCTTGCCAAGTTATAAAACTACAACTAAAACTGATTTTATTTAACAGCGCTAAGTAGGTGAAAAAAGCCTTTGCGCGCACTTTAAGGTGTTGTTTAAATATTTATTTATTTATTAGGTTATTCTTACTAGACTATGATGATGTGCCTAACAAAAGTGGTAGGCAATGCTAATTGAATATATATATATATATATATATATATAATTTATATATATATATATATATATATATAATCATTCATTGCATTCAGTTCCAGTGCCAAGCCAATTACATTTGTTCTGCGGCCTGTTTGCTTACTTATAGCAAAAGCTGCTGTTTCTTGGGACACATTCCCTGTTGGCACGCGCAATTGCATTAAATTTGCATTGATCAGCAGTGGAATTGGAGCTGGAGCTAAAGCAACCACACGCTCACACACACAAACACACACACACACCTATACCACACCGCCCACCCACAAGCAATTTTGTCTTGTCATAACTTTCCATTTGTCTGATCCTGTTATAAACTTTAATAGTATGCAGCATTGCGCCCAACTGGATTAGTGTGTATGTGGGAGTGTGTGTGCACTCAGAAAAAAAACTCATTTACAACTTCACAGCTGACATTATGGATGCTCTGAATCTCTGCCTGAAAGCGACGGAATACAAAATATATTGTATATGATAAAAAAATTTAATTGACTCAGGCAAAATCTGAATTTTAGAAATTGGTTTGAATACTAGAAAGTCTTTTTTTTAGAAATAATTTTTAATTATAAAAGAAAATGTCTTAAATTTACGAATACATCTTTGTTTAAGAAATAAATCTTTTTATAATAGAAAATATTAAAAAAAAAGCAACCCAAAAAAAATTAATAATGAAAATTGCTCATTCGACTCTTATTTTAAAGTTTAGCTGTTGTCTGCTTTATAGAAGGGTTTAAAATACAATATTCTGGAAATTCTATATATTTTTAAACAAATTTTAAAAAGAGAAGACTAAAAAGCTTCCATTGCATGAAGTATGAATAATAATAAAACTTAAGCTTCCATTTTAGATTTATACATTCTGAATAATATGACGATTTTCAGGTCGATTTTTTTTCTGAGTGTGAGAGTCTGTTTGTGTATATGTGTGTTTGTTTGGCTGCCAGTAAAAGTGGATTACTTTAGATGGCAAATTGCGTGTGTAGCTCTCATGCAAAGTCATTATCGAAATATTACAAAAATAAACATAGTTCACAGAGGGCAAGGGGGTAAGAATTTTGTTGCCCATGAACGACTCATCATCAGCCAGAAATTTGGCAACTAAATGTACATTGCACCACTGCCCCACTGCCCCACACCGCTGCACTGCTGGCGTGGGGCACATTCAATGTTCTGTACGCGAATGTGGCATTCGAGACGAGTTCAGTGCACACGATGCACATTAATTTTATCAGAGATAATTGTTGCCACACAGTCAATCAGTCAAGCTGCCAATCAGTCAGCTGATCAGTCAATTGGTCAGTCGGCCAGTTGTGTCTGCTGGGTTATAATTAACGAACGGTTCAGCACCTTTTGTCATAAGTGAGTGTGTGCAAGTGAATTATGCTAAAATGATTGATGAAATTTGCTTATACAGTCAGCACTCAAAATAACTTACCAGAACACAGAAGTGTTAATTTTTACTCTACTTTGAATTGTTTATTTGAGTAATGAAAACAACTCGCTTCACATGGTTGACTCATAAATTGTTTGCAAACGGTTCTCAACAATTCAGTCCCCCCTCCGCTTTTGGTTAGAATAATCAGCCCAACAAAAGGGAGGGGCTTTGGGCTGTGACTGGTCGCTGGTCGCTGGTCGACATGGTATACCTGAACAGCTGCACGTCGTCTCTCTGGGCAATCCTTGGCTCGAACGTCAGTGCTGCCAAATCAGTCAAATACAAATCTAAAATGAAAAAAATTAAATAAAAACCATTTGACAAACGCAATTTATTGAAATGCCATTTTAATAATAATTTTTATGGACTATGGGCACAGC